CGTGATTTGCAGAGCATTGTTACTAAAATTGATAAATGATTCACGATAAAAGGATCACAAATCCATCGAGTAAAGCATCTCCGATTGATTGATGAACAAGTCATCGTCAGAAAGAGGACGGTCCGTTAGGAGACGAGTCACCACCTCTTGAGAGCATACTAGATGCGATGAAGAGCCTCCTCTTGCTACATGGACCTGAGGATGAAGCTCCTTGATATGCGCCCCACCTCCATCCAGCTCCTCTCCATCGGTGATAGTCGCTGGAGAGCTGCAAAGTCATCATTTTTCCTCTCCACTAAGTGACAGCCACCGGAGATAATTTGACGACCCATTTCATTGATCTCTAGACTTTGTAGGGAGATCTAGAGATTGCCCACATCATTTTTGTCTAATGAGAGCCTTCAAGGCTATGAACACTACACGACAATCCTCCTAAACACTTAAGATTTCAGTACATTCCCAACACATCATTGCCATGACGTTGGAACTCTATTTTCCTACTTTCAACTTACTTTATACTTCATTTAGTGATAATTTGTGTGATTTTAATTTACCAAAATATATTTCGTTCACTTACGATTCTTCCAGCTTTTACAAATCTTAATTTGATCAATTAAATCATTTGTAATCACTTACGTAAAAATCACCAGGCATAACTCTATTTTCGCTCGATTTACATTCGTTGGGCGTTGACATCATCTTGACATCTGCACCCTTATTTCCCTTTTTTGTGAATTTTAAATATATTTCTTTTTCATTTACTACTATAAAAATTATAGAAAATAGTATTCTTTGAAGAAAATTCTAAATAATTACCAAATATTATATGATTGACCTAGAAAATTACTGCTATTTTTGGAAGTTTTATTGAATTATAATTGATATATTTATTCAGAAATACTTTTAAATACCCAAAATTCGTATTTTCTAGTTTTATAAATTTTAAATTTACGTGATTTACTATACTACGACTAAGTCATGTCAACAACCCAGCCCACATAGCCCATAATTAACAACTAGAATTTTGCCTAATATTAGGATATGAAAATTAGATAAAAAATTACAAATAGATATTATTAATAATTATAAATTAGTAGTTAAATCTATATATTAGTATCTTATATATAGATGTTAATTACTTATTATGACATTGATAATGTTTTATCATTTGAGTCTTAATGTATATTATTTTACTTATTTTATTTGTATTATGAGACTAACCCTATGATAAGTCTTCATTATCATGAGTTAATAATTAGTAAATAATATAGTTTTAGCATTACCTCATGATAAATAGACTTATATTTATGTTAAAGTGTGAAAAATAATTTTCAGTTGATTAACATGAATTTTAGGGTAATTATGTGGTTTTATATGAATTTATATGATTTTTACAATCTTAGTTTTGAGATAAATGAAGAAAAAGAAATAAAAATAAAAATATAGCAAAATAGAGGGGACTCGTCGACCAGCTAAGCCCGCAAGTAGGTCCGAAGCACAATCAGGGAGGAGCCACGAGCAAGGGCTCAAGCGGCTAGGACTGATGGGGGCACGTGTGCACCACTCCCCTTCCACGTCACTAGTGGCCAACTAGCTATAGGGCAAGGAGTGGTCGTATACGCAGGAGAAAAGAACTTGCTTGCAAATGTAATATTACTATATATTCACCCGAAACTTCGGTGCACAAGTGATGTGGGACTAAACCCGCATCACACCTTCCCCAAAAAAACTTTGATGATTTTAATACCTACAATATTCCTTATTTATAATAGTGATATATTATGATGATGTCATTTGATAAGGGCATTAGAGTACTTATGTCAATCTCTCTCTTGTAGGCGAGCAACCGATGCGGGTTCAAATCCTCCTAGAGCCAAAACTCAGATTTTTTATCTAATTATCGTGACTTTCCTACATATCGTTGATGAAGGAGTAAGCTGCTAAAATCGCTGAATCATTAGCAAAAATCTCGTCAATACGATTTGTGGAGCATTGTTACTAAAATTATTGACCAATTCGTGATAAAAGGATTACAAATCCATCTAGTAAAGCATCTCCGATTGATCAACAAATAAGCTGTCGTCAGAAAGAGAAAGATCCACCGAAAGATGAGTTGCCACCTCTTGAGAGCATATCAGATGCGATGAAGAGCCTCCTCTTATTATGTAGACCTAGGATGAAGCTTTCTAACACACGCCCCACCTCCATCTAGCTCCTCTCTATCGGGTGACAGCCGTTAGAGAGCTGCAAAGTTGCCATTTTTCTACTCCGTTGGGTCACAGCCACCAGAGACAATTTGACGACCCATTTTATTGATCTCTAAATTTCGCAAAGAGATCTAAAGATTGCCCACGTTGTCCATGTCCAAGGAGAGCCTTTGAGGTCGTGGACACTATATGACGATCCTCCCAAATGCTCAAGATTCTGAAGCATTACCGACGCATCGTTGTTGTGATGCCGGAACTCTATTTTTGTGCTTTCAGCTTAATTTCTATTTCATTTAATAAAAATTTATGTGATTTAAATTTACCAAGATATACTTCATTTCATTATGATTCTTCTCACTTTTTAAAATCATAATTTGATCAATTAAATCATTTGTAATCACTTACGTAAGAATCATCGAACATAACTCTATTTCCGCCCAATTCGCATTTATTAGGCGCTAACATCACCCTGACGTCCGCACCTTATTTTCTTTTTTCGTAAATTTTAAATATATTTTATTTTTATTTCTTAGTATAAAATTCATAGAAAATAGTATTCTTTGAGAAAAATTATGAATAACTACCTGATATTATGTTACATTCTTGTGATTGATCCGAAAAAATATCACTTTTTTTTGGAAGTTTTACTAAATTATAACTGATAAATTTGTTCAGAAATACTTCTAAATATCTAAATATTCATATTTTCTAATTTTATAAATTTTAAATTTGTGTGATTTACTATACAACAACTAAATCACGTCACCTCACTTGACTTTCATGAAGTCAAGTGATGATTCTCTCACATTTTCTTGATAATTATTTGATTACAAGGACTTAGGTGAGTTTATTATGAATTAGAAGTAATGGAAAAAATCTAGACCTTTAGCCTAATGAAAAGTCTAAGTCTTATGGAGAGGGCCGGCCTAATATGTTTATCGGCCCAAGAGAGGGCATCACCTTGGCCTAGCTCATTTGGACTTAAAAAGACTATCAAGAGATAAGTTCTAGGTCGCCCCTCTTAGGGTGCCTTAAGATGAGATTAAGAGAAGGATTAGAGCATCACTCTTATAGAATAATTTGAGCCATCCACCAAGAGAGTTGGTTATTAATCATAACCATCTATTAGAGGGGCTTAATTCTCAAGAGAATTAAAACATCTTGTCACCCTCTTAGAAGACATTTTTTGGCTCTCTCTCTACTAGTGGCTAGTCAAAGAAAATAGGAGGAAAATCAAGACCTGATCAAAGGTATTATCATGCTCAAGATTATTGTGAAGAAAAGATTACCTAGAGCGCATCAAGATCGTCATGGATCAAGCATCACTTGGCCTAAGACTAATGCACAATGAGGTTTGTACAAGATCCAAAATTGGGGCATCTTTGTAATCCTCTCCATAGATAAATTAACTTTTAATTCAAACTAGTTTTACTATTTATTTTATCATTCTATTGCATTAAATCCATTCGCTCCCTTTTGCCTCCACCTTTTTACATTTAGTACCATCCTACACAATCGTAAGTATATATATATGTAAGAAATAAAATAGGTAGAATTCTTACTCTCATTACTCACGCTCTTTAAGGATTGACCCTTACTTATCCTAAATAGAAGAGTAGGGTTATATAAATATTATTTGCATGAACTTGGTTGCATCATAATGACGTATTTAACCTCAAATTTAAGTTCATCAATTACTCATCATGTTCCTTCTTCTTTGCCTCATACTTCCAAGTGCAAAGAAAAGTAGTTGAAATCAATACTTGGTGTATCATAATCAATAGAATTGTCAAGTAATTCCTCTCATTATTCTACATAACTAATCATTTATTGAAGACGTCAAAAAAAATTTCAATTATTTTTTTTCTGTGTTGATTGTAAATCTTATCGCATTGAAGCACTTGTAGTGTGCCTACAATGAACTTGATGTTGAATTACTAGAATCTAGGTTTCTAATGATTATGAAAAACTCACATAGTGTATATATATCATATGAGGGATTGCTCATCTTAAGTAAATTAAATATTTTCTAAGGACTAAAATAGTGTAATTGATATTATGAACTAGAATGTGAATGTAGGTTGAGGGGTGATAAGTCTTCATTATCATGAGTTAATAATTAGTAAATAATATAGTTTTAGCCTTAACTCATGATAAATAGACTTATATTTGTGTTAAAGAATGATTTTTGGTTTTCAATTGATTAACGTGAATTTTTGGGTAATTATGTGATTTTATACGATTTTTACAGTCTTACTTTTGAGATAAATGAAGAACAAGAAATAAAAATAAAAATATTGCAAAATGGGGGGACCCGCCGGCCAGCCGGGCCCGCAAGCGGGTCGGAAGCGCAGTCGGGAGTAGCCGCGAGCAGGGCTCGAGTGGCTTGGCTTGGACCGACAGGGGCACGTGTGCGCCACTCCCCTTCCACGTCACCGGTGGCCAGCCGGCTGTGGGGCAAGGAGTGGTCGTACACGCGAGAGAAGGGACTTTGCTCACAAAGCTAACATTACTATATATTCGCCCGAAAACTCGGCGTACAACCGATGTGGGACTAAACCCACACCTTCCTCAGAAGAGGCGGGCGACCGGCGCGGGTTCGAATCCTCCCAGAGTCAAAATTCATATATTTTTATCTGATTATCGCGACTTTCCTGCAGATCGCCGGTGAAGGATTAAGCAACGAGAATCGCTGGATCATCGGCGAAAATCTCGTCAACGCGATTCGCGGAGCATTGCTACTAAAATTGCTGAACGATTCGCGATAAAAGGATCGCGAATCCATCGAGTAAATCATCTCCGATTGATCGACGAACAAGCCGTCGTCGGGAAGAGGACGATCCGCCGGGAGACCAGTCGCCACCTCCTGAGAGCGTACCAGATGCGATGAAGAGCCTCCTCTTGCTGCGCGGACCTGAGGATGAAGCTCCCTACACGCGCCCCACCTCCATCCAGCTCCTCTCCGTCGGGTGACAGCCGCCGGAGAGCCGCAAAGTCGCCGTTTTTCCGCTCCGCCGGGTGACAGCCGCCGGAGACGATTCGACGACCCACTTCATTGATCTCTAGACTTCGCGAGAAGATCTAGAGATTGCCCACGTCGTCTTTGTCCAAGGAGAGCCTTCGAGGCCGTGGACACTACACGACGATCCTCCCGAACGCTCAGGATTCCGGTGCATCGCCGACGCATCGCCGTCGCGACGTCAGAACTCTGTTTTCCTGCTTTCAATTTAATTTACGCTTCATTTAGTGATACTTTGTTGATTTTAATTTACCAAACTATACTTCGTTCAATTACGATTCTTCCGGCTTTTATAGATCTTAATTTGATTAATTGAGTCGTCTCTAATCGCCTACGTAAGAATCGTCGGGCTTGGCGTTCGCCAGGCGCTGACGTCATCCTGACGTCTGCACCCTTATTTCCTTTTTTCTGTGAATTTTAAATATATTTCCTTTTTATTTCCTAGTATAAAATTCGTAAGAAAATCGTACTCATTGAGAAAAATTCTGAATAATTACCAGATATTATATTACATTCCTGTGATTGACCTGGAAAATTACCGCTATTTTTGGAATTTTTATTGAATTATAATTGATATATTTATTTAGAAATACTTCTAAATATCTGAAAATTCGTATTTTCTAGTTTTATAAATTTTATATTTGCATGATTTAACATACAACGACTGAGTCACGTCAAGGGGGTTTGGCTAAAGAACTATAAAACCCTTGTTTATTAGTGTCTCTTTCCTTATATATAATTAAATTAGGTAAGTAGTTAGAAACCATATAAGAAGATGGATGGATATTGATTAATTAGTTTGAACTAATATCTTTAAAATAGAAGCTACACTAATAATATATTGATGTGACTTAGTCGTTGTATAGTAAATCATGTAAATTTAAAATTTATAAAACTAGAAAATATCAATTTTTAGATATTTAGAAGCATTTTTGAACAAATATAATAATTATAATTTAATAAAACTTATAAAACTAGTAATATAGTATCAAACAATTTTTCAAAATTTTGCTCAAAGAATGAGTTTTTATTAATTTTATACTAAAAAATAAAAATAAAATATATTTAAAATTCATGAAAAAGGGAAATAAGGGTGTGGATGTTAGGATGACCTTAGTGCCCGATGAACGTAAATCAAGTGAAAATAGAGTTCAACTTGATAATTCTTACATGAGCGATTACAGATAATTTAATTGATCAAGTTAAGATTTGTAAAAGTCAGAAAAATCGTAATTGAATGAAGTATAGTTTGGTAAATTTAAATCACATAAATTATCACTAAATGAAGTAAAAAATAAGTTGAAAGTAAGAAAATAGAGTTTTGACATCGCAGCGGCGATGCGTCAATGATGTACTAGAATCTTGAGCGTTCGAGAGGATCGTTGTATAGTGTCCATAGCCTCGAAAGCTCTCTTTGGACATAAACGACATAATTAATCTCTAGATCTCTTTGCGAAGTCTAGAGATCAATGAAATGAGTCATTGAATCGTCTCTAGCGGCTATCACCTAATGGAGCAGAAAAATGATGACTTTGTAGCTCTCTAACAATTGTCACTCGACGAAGAGAAGCTAGATGGAGATGAGGCGCATGTCAGAGAGCTTCATCCTTAAATCCACATAACAAGAGGAGGCTCTTCATCACATCCGGTACGCTCTCAAGAGGTGACGACTAGTCTCCTAGTAGATCATCTTCTTCCTAATGATGACTTGTTCGTCAATCGATTGGAGATGATTTACTCGATAGATTTGTAATCCTTTTATTGCAAATTATTCAACAATTTTAGTAACAATACTCTGCAAATCACGTTGACGAGATTTTCATTGATGATCCAACAATTTTGGTGACTTAATTCTTCACAATGATCTACAGGAAAGTCATGATAATCAGATAAAAATATGAGTTTTGACTCTAGGAAGATTTAAACCCACGTCGATTGCCCACCTACATGAGAGAGATTAACATAAGAACTCTAATGCCTTTATCAAATAACGTCATCATAATATATCACTGTTATAACAAAGGGGTATTGCAAGTATTAAAATCTTCGAAGCCTTTCAAGGGAAGGATGATGCGGGTTTAGTCCCACATCACTTATGTCCCAAAGTTTTAGACGAATATATAGTAATATTATATTTGCAAGTAAGTTATTTTCTCTTGCATATATGACCACTCCTTGCCCCATAGCTAGCTAGCCACCGATGACGTGAAAGGGGAGTGGCACACGCGTGCCCCCATCTATCCCTAGCCACTCAAGCCCCTACTTGTGGCTCCCCTCAATTGTGCTTCCAACCCACTTGTGGGCCTAGTTGGCCAACAAGTCCCACCGTTTTGCTATCTCTTTATTTTTATTTTATTTTTTTATTTATCTCAAAAATAAAACTATAAAAATTATATAAATTCATAGAAAATCACATAATTAGCTAAAAATTCATGTTAATCAATTAAAAAATATCTTTCCCAATTTAACACAAATATGTTTATTTATCATGAGTTAAAGCTAAAATTATATTATTTATTAATTATTAACTCATGATAGTGAAGACTTATCAATAGGATTTGACTAAAATTATAAAAACCTTATTTATTAGTATATCTTTCCTTATATATAATTAGATTAGCTAAGTAGTAGGAAACCATATAAGAAGGTGGAGGGATATTAATTAATTAGTTTGAACTAATATCTTTAAAATGAAAGTTGCACTAATAAGATTTTCATAGTTCCAAGATTTTAGAAACCAAAAGAACTTATTAAAGAGAATAAAGAAAGTACACTTTTAATACACACAAAAAAGAGCATTCTACTATCACAAGAAATTTCATTACTTAGTTTATAACAAACCAATAATCAAGAAGTGCAGTATTTTAAAAATAATTTTGTGAGACATTCTAAAGTAAATATTATTGTTTCTCAAGTCTTTACTACTAAGGATATAGTGATGTCGATGAAATTTAATTGGTTTCTTCTTGTATCTTCCTCAAAAGTTTTAGAAAAGACTAAAGAAAAACAAAGTTTCAATGACAATACTTCGAAAATGACTTGAAATAATGAGCTTAGATAGTACTTGAATCATCTTCACAATTATTTGACCTTCACTTGAATTACAACTTATTGTAGCATGATAAAATTTTGGTCATTGTAAACAAAATGATCAAATTTTAAAATTTCTAAACCGAATAAAAAAAGATTTAAATTTAAATTTTGGTAAATTTAGTTGGTCCATAGGGATGATGTTAAATCTCAATATGATTTAATTCTAAATAATTTATTAAAATAAATAAATAAAGGAAATAATCTTCTCCACACTTTAAATCTTCCAAAATTGCTTGAGCTCTAAACCTTCAAGTTTTGATATTTTTCCACGTTTAGAATTTCTAATTGACTCAAGAACTAAAAAATATTTCAGAGAAATGGGCAAAGAAAATCACAAGAGTAATAGAAACTTAAATGACAGAAAATACACCTAAAATCGAGAAAAACAGGGGAGGAGAGAGAAAAAAGGGGAAAACGTCTTTGGTTCAAATGATGATGAAAAATAAGTAATAATTAGAAATGAATATGCTCGAATGATCTTAAGAAAATTACTCTCACCAGAAATATTAAAATTTCAAGAAGAACTTAGAAAAACGAAATAAATCGATGAACTTGTCCCTACCTGTCACCTAGAAACATAGTATCGTCGTGATGGAAAATCGAACAGAAATGAGATTAAAAGGCGATAAAATGCAAATTAAAATGCTTAATCTGGTATTCTTCCTAACATATAGACGAAAAATAAGCTAAAACGAAAATAAAGTCGAATAAAAAAGAAAATCTAACTCCCAATCACCATCCGTCGCTCCACCTAGCTATCACCCAAAAATAGAGTATTAGAAAATCAATGGGAAATCATCTAAAGAGCGGTAAAAAAATTTAAAATAAAGCTTTAATATCGTATTCTCCTGTCAACAAGACTAATGATTAAGAAGGAATGAAATAAACTAAAATTAAAAGAGAAATCGAATTAACAAGAGCCCAACGTCACTCCACTCTTCTCTACCCATTACGCGGAGAGATCTTGCCTCAAAAGGCTTCTCAATTCCTCCAATATTCCCCTTTTTATCATCCAAAAAGCTTCTTACCTCTGCCCTCGAAGTTCCTTCCGAATTTCATGCAATAATATCTCAACAACCATCGTGAAATTCGAATTTATCTCCAACCATTTTACCCTTCAAAAACATAGCATGGAAGATGACATGTCCTAAGAGACATGGCATAGCTATTGACTTGGCCCATAAACCCTTGATACATCCTCCTGGTGATGTGGCCATGTTCCACTGTATTTTTTCTTATTATTTTCATAATTTATAAATTACTAAAAAAATGGATGAAGTGTTTTCATACATTTCCTAAAATTCCAAGATTAATGTATTTTTTTAATTTTAATTTCATGAGTAATTTTCTGCAATTTTAGAATAATTCTCAAGAATGTAAACCTTGGATAATCATGCTAGTACATCGATTTAAAAGCAAATATATATATTTATTTTACATAAATTCTAAAAATTCAGCAAATTAGATATAAATTCATCACATTAATCTCAAGTGAATATTAATATTTTAAGTTAAATAATTCATATTTTATGTTAATTCATGCAAAAAATTCTTTAATTTTAACTGAATTATTAGATAAAAATGAAGCATTATCACACCATTACTAACATTGACATCTACTTCAAACACCTTTAGGCACTCTATGGAAAAGGATCCTTCTCTTACAATTGCAAGCTCCACCTCCTCAAATAGAAGGTGAGTAGAATGGTAAATTAAAGGAATATACTATGTTCTCCTCCAAAAAAACCCTATGGAAAAAAAATGTAAAAAAAAGTTAATTTTTTTAACTATTAAGGTGGTATAATTTTTTAGTAAATTTTGTACAAAGCTACCATTATGGTACAACAAGATTTTTCATAAGAATTGAGAAAGCAATAAATTTATGTCATGGGAGTACAATGTTTTTTCATCTCAAGGGTATAGTTAAAGATTGTCAAAGAAAATATTTAAGATCTCTCTCTCTCTCTCTCTCTCTCTCTCTCTCTATTGATAGAGGAAGAGATAGATAGCAAGATTCTTCTAGATATTCCATTAATAAATAACTCATTATTATTCATAGACACTTTAGTGAAGATACTACTAACAATCTCTAAAACGCAACGTCCAAATATATGACTAAGCTTATTATGAAATTTTTGATATTTTATTAAACATATGTGATATTTACTTCTGTACTTAGGATGCAGCAGAGATGGGGGGATATAAATATCTGGTGGAGTTGATGGTGACGGTAGACTCCACATTTCCGTCCCCCAACTGCCCTCCACCTCCTTGACGGAGGAGAGAGGAGGGGGTTGATCCGCAGATGGGGATAATGGAGTAGGAGTGTGAAGAAGCCGGCAGTGTTGGGGCTACCGGGATCCTAATCCGCAGGAGTTGGGGTTCAGCGGGAAGAAGACGATGCAGACCCCCGTTGCTGTGGCTACCTTCTCTCGCTTCCCTCTCGCTTCTGCCCGCCACGTCTCCCGGCCCCTCTGCAGCTTGGGAAAGCAGCGGAGAAAGAAGAGCTTCAGAGAGGGCTGGCCCTCCATTGTCCTCCCTCTCTTCGGCTCCGGCTTTCTCCTGGGCCCTACCCTCGACGGGATCCACTCCAGGGTCTCCCTCCTCGTTTATCAAAACGGCGCCATTGACGTAGGCCCTCTCCACACCAACATATGGGTACTCCAATCTCTCTCTCTCTCTCTCTCTCTCTCTCTCTCTCTCTCGCTCTACTGGGTAGATTCTGAGCCGTGGGCTTGCACGGGATGGTCAGGTACCCTTCCTGCTGGGGACATTCTACACCACATTCGGGCTTCTGCGGATCTATCTGGACGAGAGGGCCTCCGGAATCCCCGAGGGAAGCTCTGGGAGAACTGCTTCTTCGCTGATGTGAGTCGTCCTCTTCCCCATTCTCGACATGATCCTCAAGAATTCCGCTCCCACACTGAAAAGAGCCATTGAAAAGCTTCTACTTCAAGGAAATGGCAGGCTCATCATCCCCATTCTTCCCCTCTCACAGAGCTTTGGCGGCGTTCTTGGAACTGAGCGCCGAACTGTACCGAATCGGGGTGGCCGATAATGTCGAGGCCTACATCCTCTTCGCCCTGGCGGAGCTCGCCTGGTTCTTCCTCGACGGCACCTGGCTGGGCTTCGCCATCGCCTCCATCGTCGGCATCCTCTGCCCTCTCGCCGAGATTCCACTCATCAAGTAAGTGAGAAAACCTCCAAACTCCGCTGTCTACCACCTCTGATATAGTCGTTTCTTCAGACTGCTCCACCTGTGGACCTACCCTAACGCCAACATCCAGATCTTCGGCGAGGTACGCCTGCTCCTGCGATGACGGATTCTCCCATTTCTTGAACAATCGGGCGGATTTTCTCCACGAAAACCTTCTCCTCACCGCGTGATTTTCAGGGGTTGGTGACATGGACGGCCACCTGCTATTTCGTGTACACGCTATTCCTCACGAATTTGTCCCGGCTGATCAGAACGGCTGTGGCTGGTGACGATGACGCAGACGAGTGACCTCCGCCCCTAATCCAGAAGCACTGCAACTTTCTCTTGCCGTTTGAAGAAGATGGTGGAGACGGCCTAGGGTTGGAGACTTAGGGTTAGGGATCCCGTGGAACTAGCTCTTCCAGGATCAAGCGCAGCTGGGTCGTGAGATTCGGACGCCAGGAGAGATGAGGGGTCATTCTTCTCTTCTGCAGATCTTCGATCTCTTCAAACCCAAAGATGGAAAGTTTCTGTCTGCCATCGCTCGTGTTCATCGTAAATTTTCCACAAAAAGAAAAAAAATGCTCTCTTTATACTCCGAGAGCTGAAAATGTCAGGAAACCGTGAAGAAAAGTGGCGATCATGACATCCGGGGGAGGAAGTGTGGCCTTGCAGCTTACAGGGGCTGTCGTAAACAGAGACAGAGAGAAGCTAACCCGAGAACACAACATTGAGGATATCAGGAAACCTCTCCTTGATCGCCGCCTTGATGCCGGTGCCGATACTTTCGGGGCCCACGTATCTGACGTGGCACTCCGCGCCATCCACGGATATGACTTCCACGCTCCCGCCGTAGTTCTTGATGGCCGGTCTCAGAATGTCCAGATGATTGTTGACGGCCTACAGCATGGACAGTCAAGGCAAAGCCGGCATCACAGACTCATCCCACAAAGGCGCAGCGCATCCATTTCTAGTTTTAATCAGAAGATGAGGACGAGGACGAGGAATGAGCAGAAAGTCAACGGGGCTGACCTCAACTGTTGTCTCAGCCTGCTGTTCATCGGGAGCTTGGCGAATCTCTTTCACCGCGTCCCCGAATTTCTCTTTCAAGACTCTCTCGATGCCCATCGTCATGGTCGTCGTCGAACTCGGGCAGCTCCCGCATGCTCCTGTGAAGTCAAACCGACGCCCAAATTGTCAACTCTCCAAGTTGTGGGAAGTCAAAATACTACATTTAATCAACAACCCACTTCTAAATCAGCGCCATCCGCCTTCTACAAACAAACCCAGAAACAAAAAAAATATCTCCAGGTGGCATCTGGGTACCTCCTGAACTCGATTGGAGATATTATGATCTCACTTAAACCAGCGGATGTCCCTGAATTACGCAATCAATGTTTCCACAAAGTCAAACCAGCTAAGCAGACAGTGGGCTTCTGTGGATGACGTGAACTCTGTGATCATCTAGAAACACCTGAACAAACTAGGAATGAGAGCTACCCATGGCAGCGGAGGGAGAAAAGGCCGAGGAAAGTGTATCCAGATTGGAAAAAAATACAATTTTGACTCATCCCGAGAAGAAAGGAGAATACATCCAACAACATAGGATGCAGCTCTGATGATGAGTGAGGATCACTCAGCTTTTTCTAATGAGACCGATTTGATTATCCACAATATCCCCACGGACAGAAAGGAAAAAAGTCAACTCAAGGGGCACGATTTTCCTGCTCCGAGGAGCATCAATCAGTTCAACAGAGGCTCCATTCCAGAGGCTCTGTGGATGGGAGAAGATCTTAAAAGCAATGAACAACGGTTTCTAATGATACCGATTTGATTTATCCTTGGACTGTAAGCTCAACGGGAAACTCGAGTCTGCCACCGTCACCGCAGAGGATGCATGGAAAAATCGGTATTTCATAAGGGGAGAAAATCAACAGGCTAGAGAACAATGGTGCTGATGAAAGCGATGGAAGGGAGCTCCAAACTCCTCCTGGCACAGAGGTCCCAACGATGCTGCAGGTTCAGTATTTCAGGGAAAACCATGGGGACGTCGGATAGAAGAAGATCCTGTACTGAGATGTATGTGGCATCACGGAGGTTTCCAAGGATAGAGAATCTTCTGTAAGATCTTGCTAGGAAAACTCGGGGTAAGTGGGAAGACTTGTTGAATACTAGCTAGTATTTGATGATCTGAGGAAAGGCGACAACTAATTATAGAAACATTTCGGAGGACCACACAAGGCCGTGCTCATGGCCAGACTGTGTTTCATCCTCTTGAATGGAGGGACATTCGCAGTTTTACAGGCTTGCTGCAGATGGCACCGCCAAAGGAAATCAGATTGAAGCTCACGAACAGTTTCCATGGGCCAAATTATTGCTCAAAAAAGAATGACGCGAAGAACATATGATTTCCATGGATTTCATACGAGCTTTAGTAGGGCAGACGGTGATCAATCGTCAATCCGACCTGCGAACCGTACCAGGAATATGAAACCTGGAAGTAGCAACGAGCAACGAAGAAAAAACATGGGGGCTGGAGGAGATGAATTTCCCAACCTTGGAGCTTCAGGGAGATGACCCCGTCCACCACCGAGACGACCTCGACGTTACCCCCGTCCGCGATGAGGTAGGGCCTGACGTCCTCGAGGACCAGATCCACGTTAGCGGCGGTGAGCTCGAAAGTCTCGGCGGAGTACAGCCCCGGCGAGCCAGATGACGCTGTGGAGGAGGGGGAAGAACCGGCGGCGAGGATGGGGATTCTGGAGGTGACGCTCCCCCATCTCCAGGGGCAACCAAGGAACGAAGGAAGAGGACGATGGTGGGGACGAAGACGAAGCTTAACCGCTGGGGAGGGGCTCGTCCTGAGGACGTCGGCGGCGAGAGCTCTCATGGTGTACTTGCGCACTCCTCTCAACGTTGCCCCCGCCGGCGGCCTTGCTGGAAGAAGAAACCCCCCACCCCTCCCCTTCTCCTCCGCTCATGTTGCGGGTCCCACGTATCAAGACTGCGCCATTGCCTGTCGTAAAATCCCACAAGGTTTGACTAGAGAGAGAGAGAGAGAGAGAGAGAGAGAGGGTTAACATGTTTCCATTTATGAGTGGTAAAAGAGAAATTTGGTAGATTGTTTACTATTTAAAATCCCAAATAAGCTGTAAAACAAAAAAGAAGGTCATTTCAGTGAAGTATTTATTGCATAAGTGGCTTCTGACCTCCAAAAAAGTCCAAAAAAAAAAAGATCAATAAAAAAAAGTTATTGGCAACGTGTGTTATAAATTATAAATCTAGAGTTATGGATAAAGATGGAAAAAAGGAGCAGTAATACATGAATAGCACTACATATATAGGTTTCAAAACTGGTCAAGGGTTGTGATTCCAAATAAGTCATTGATTTAGCATTTATTATTTAAAGGCTACTAACTTCTAGAAAAGGTTCACGCACAGTTGAGATCAATCAAAAGTGTTTTGAATAACATTTACTCGAGCAAAACAAACCTACTACAACCTTCTAGTTCTAGCATCATCAATCTATAGAAGAGAGTTAAAACCTGTTGTTAATTATTATACTCCACAAATTATTAATTAATGTGGCTGTATTGATTGATCCATTTATTAGTCTAAAAGGTGGAGTGAACTCACTTGAATTATGATGTCCCCCATCTCTCGCATTAGATTTCTTTCTGGAATCACTTGTTATAGACAACATGACTCATTCATCATATAATCTCGTCAAAACACATACTTACACCAAGAAAGGTGTCTCATTCGCATTGAGATGTAGGACTTGCCTTACCCATATAAGTGTAGGATTTCTGATACCTTTTAGTGTTTCTAGGACTTTTGAGTCATGAAGCTAATGCTGAGTGCATAAACTAGAGCTATAATTATTCTTATTGTGCGTTGACTTTTTTCCAAGGAGAATAGCAAAACCCTAGGAAGTTGTGTTTTAAAAGAGTATCTCAAGTAGGCTTCAAGTGAAACCATGATAAATCAAAATGTTTCACTAAAGAGGTACCCACTAAGTATACTATCCAAAAAAATTGGACCCACCTTGTTTTCACAAATCCAAGTTAAGAAAGGTTATTTTGTAAACCTTACAAAAAAAGGGGTTTTTTCCCCATTTATTCCTACATTTGTTCAATTGAGACTTATAGAGAAAACCTATAAAAAAATTTATTTTAATTTCATAAAATTACTTAAAAAAATACTCAAAATATTTCTCTTAACAATAGAAACACAAATATTGGACCTTGTGTCCCCATCACAGGGCCCCAATGTTGACTTTCCTAGAGGAGGAGGGCGTGTGAAGAAGAAGTCAACGAAAGAGTTCATATCTAGACTCTAATCAAGACGTAGCCATGTGCCTAGTTCTAAATGTGGCAAAGATGTGTTTGTACACTGTGCAAGAATAGTCTCAAATTCATTGCCATAAAACTTAAGACGATGTGCTTAACTATCTACCCATTATGGATTGGACATTCCAACCAAAAATTAATTGACAATGAGCCGAATATACATGTTGTTATAATCACGTATTACCTATTATTGTAATTGAGATCAATATTCTTCTTGCAGTCGACATGGCACGATTTCTCTGCGCCATGATCGGCTGGAGGGTCTCCTTCCCTGTTTCCCGTCAGAAGGCAGCCCCACTTCCGCCTCTCACCTCCCTTTATAACCCTTTTTCTCTCTTTCATCCCCGAAAGCGCTTGCTTACGATGGGAGATGAAATGAGAACCCCATCCCTCTCTTCTCTCTACCTCGTCTTTACAGCAGTTTCCCATCTTCTCTCCATCTGCCTGCTTGCAAGTGCAGAAGAATCGCCATGGCTGGGGGGAGACCTCCGCGCCCAGGAGTCCCACCGAGTGGTCAATCTTCCGGGGCAGCCCCCCAGCCCAGCCCCCATCTCGCAGTACTCGGGCTTCATCACCGTGGACGGGGAGAGTGGGAGAGCCCTCTTCTACTGGTTCTTTGTGGCTCAGACTCTTCCCTCTCGTAGACCTCTTCTCCTCTGGCTCAATGGAGGTACCGCCTGTCGATTGACTATGATGTTCATTTCTTCTGAGAGTGAAGAAATCTTTGCTTATCTCTCTCTCACTGTCTATCTATCTATCTATCTACCTATCGATGTATATATCTCTGTCTGTCTGTCGATGAATGTATCTATTCGCAGGTCCTGGCTGTTCTTCCGTTGGCTATGGGGCAGCTGTGGAGCTGGGTCCTCTAAGAGTGAAGAGAGATGGGAATGGGCTAGAGTTCAATAGATACGCTTGGAATCAAGGTCCGTCGTCCACCGTGTTTCTCTCCTCATGTCTTCACGGAAGTAGCTTTTTTTCTCTATCGCCTTCATTCATCTTATGAAGACTGGGTTCTCATTTCGTATAGAATCTGAATACTGTATATGCTCTTGCAGAAGCAAATCTTCTATTCTTGGAGTCTCCCGTCGGAGTCGGGTTCTCCTACACCAACACATCTTCTGATCTCAACAAGCTGAATGATGAGCTTGTCGGTAATGGGCAAAGCTCCCTCTCTCTCTCTTTCTCTCTCTCTCTCTCTTTCTCTTGCTGTCTCTCGCTTCCTTTTTCTCTCTACCTCTGGGGGAGATGACTCATTGAGCTGTGCAGCTGAGGACGCCTACGAGTTTCTGGTCAATTGGTATGAGAGATTTCCTCAGTACAAGTCCCATGATTTCTATATATCAGGAGAGAGTTATGCCGGTAAGTACGCTAATCCGCGGCTAATGTTTGCCCATTTTTTATCTCTTCCTTCATCACGAGTTTCTCCGCATGGAAAGGTGGGAAGAGAGAGAGTCTGCCATTGGGCCAGTGTACTTAGATCCCTCCGTGAGTGTAGGTTGTCATCTTCTGAGAAAATTCCAAGGTAACCAAGAAAAATAACAGTCGCGGTGCAGAGAGGAGAGGTTTACGATGCCTACCGCTGAAACCAGAAATAGAAAGGGAGAGAAGGGGAATGGGCGAGGAAGGGTGCGGGGAGAGAGGGGGAGAGAGAGAGAGAGAGAGAGAGAGAGAGAGATCCGTTGAAAAGCCACACAGAGAAAGAGGAATACAATGTCTACCATCTGAAACCAGATATATGAATGTCTACAAAGACAGAGAGATAGTTAGGTTTACAGATACACTCTGATGGGGTTGTACAGTGGCGACAGCCCCACTTTCCTCGCTGTTTGGTCCCATTTAGGGAGCTTCCATCTCCTTTCTGTGGCAGGTCACTACGTCCCCCAGCTTGCAGAGCTCATTTACGATCGCAACGAGGACTCCTCTGGGAAGTTCCCGCGGATCAATCTGAGAGGATTCATAGTAAGGCATTTCTTTCAGACATTACGCAATTCAGATCATGTCTGAGGAAGAATTGGGTGCTCATATACGGCCCATCCCCAGGTAGGAAACCCCGAAACGGAAGACTACTACGATTCCAAGGGCCTGCTGGAGTTTGCATGGAGCCACACCGTCATCTCCGACGAGCTCTTCCGGCTCGCCAGCCGAGTCTGCGACTTCCGCCATTACAGGTGGCCCAGTGAGTGCTCCGTCGCCATGGACAGAGTCTTCCGGCAGTACCGGGAGATCGACATCTACAACATATATGCGCCAAAGTGCACTTTGACGCCCTCTTCGCCGTCGGCGGCGGCAGCAGTGGTGGAGGATATGGTAGCGTCGAGGACGACGAGGATGGGTGCTGGCGGTTATGACCCTTGCTTCTCGGCGTACGCGGAGGAGTACTTCAACAGGGCTGAGGTGAGAAGGTCGCTTCACGCCGACGCCATTGCTGGCGATAACAGGAGGTGGAAGGTTTGCAGGTGAGTGAGATGCAGTTGACCGGCGATGGGTTCAGTCATAAGGTTGGATGAGCCTGTTCTGAGATTCATTCGTCTTTTGCCCTTGTTTTCTTGCAGTGATTCCATACTGAGGAATTACAATTACACCGTCCTCTCCGTGACCCACATCTACCTCAAGCTCATCGCCGCCGGGATGAGGATCTGGGTCTACAGGTCTCTCTCTCTCTCTCTCTCACTCACTCTACAGTATGCTTTGTCGCCTCACGTTCTGACAAGTCACCCTTGGCTTTTTGCGTTGGGGAGGAGAGTGACAGTGGGGACGCCGACGGGAGGGTTCCAGTCATCGGAACAAGGTACTGGGTGGAGTCTCTGGGTCTCCCCCTTAGAGCTCAGTGGCGTCCTTGGTATCACCGCGGCCAGGTCCTCTATCTCTCTCTCTATCTCTCTCTCTCTCTCTCTCTACTCTCTACAACTATATGTATATGAATATATATGTGCGAGCCCGTTCTTAAATATGCAAGTACCTCTTCCGAGGCACAGGTGGGAGGGAGATTCGCGGAGTACGAAGGGCTGACGGTGGCAACGGTGAGAGGGGCGGGCCATTTGGTCCCTCTCAACAAACCACGCGAGTCCCTCGTCGTCATCAACTCCTACTTATCGGGCCTCCAGCTTCCCATCCGCAGATAAAAGTCAAGAGAGAGAAAGAGCGAGAGTGAGAGAGAGAGAGAGAGAGAGAGAGAGAGAGAGAGAGAGCTACGGTCTCAGTTACAAACAATGAAGCCTATCTCGGAGAGTCTGGTGGAATGTTGGGCTCATCTGAACCTTTCTGCCTCTGAGAACTGCTAGCTGGTGAGGGGATATTGCCCTGCGTTTTCGTCGCAGAGTGGCCAAGCGGTGCGACTAACAATGGCAGTGAGGTAGCTAACCGGTGCTGAGGACGCCGATTCAAGGCCAGTTCAAGGATTGAGATGTGGTTCACGTGAACACGTCCAATAAGATGATTTCCCCTGACAATTATTTTAAATTCTCTCTCTCTCTCTCTCTCTCTCTCTCTCCCTATTCCAAGAACCATGTCCGCTTGTAAGAAATTAAAATCATACTTTAATGATATCTTATTATCTTTTCCCCACCATTTTCAGATGACGAAGTGGCTGGTCATTGACTCGTCAATATGCTAGGTGAGAGCCAAGTGTATCATTGGAAGGTGCAAGCTAGGTCTAAGTGGAAGATTTATGGCAATCGCGACTGCTAAAACCAAATTATGAACATAATTCAATCACATGATGATGCAACAAGCTTTTTTTTTGTTCAATCTAACCTACACCTATTCTAATCCCCAACCCTTTCCTCGGATATCTCCTCCACCGGGTTTCTACTAAACATTCACAAGTCAGAAGTCCTAAGGTATCACTTAAGCCTCCTCCTTACAACTACACTAGCATTGACCTAAAAAATCCTGCCCAGATTGGGAAATGAAGAGCTAATTGACATCACTCACAAAACCTAGCCTTTAATAACTTTGGTGATGATGAAGTCTCTCAAAGATTGGTCAGCTTCATAGAGAGAGAGGGAGAGGAGATTTTTTTCCACAGGTCCCCAACTGTAAATTTGCACGAGCTTGCAAAACTCTCTCATTTATTCTCCATAGTGGCTTGTTGTATCTCACAAAAAGTCATTGCAAAAAGTATTACTTTGTTATTTTGATCTCTTGTTGCTATTTTGATCGATATAACCACTACAATTTTATAAGTGTCAACATTTGAAGGTTCAATATCATTGCTGAAACATAACTGCCATGTCAAATACTAACACTTCTTTTGTCCAAGTTTTAACTTATAAATTCCTTCTTTTCTATTGGTGTCATGTTAATACTGACTAAGCAAGTTTACCACTTTGATCACAAAGTTTGCATGCATTGACCCCTATGCACTCTTTGCTTTTGCTTCAAGTAGTGATACCATAATAGGATATGTTAACATTTTAGCAGTTTTGCATGATTAAGGAGAATATATTATAATATTTCGAATCCAGCATCATCCACTCACACCACAAATGGGAAGGGAAGATCCATCACTTATATCAAGAAATAAATTAAAAAGTGAAAATGTCTTTCAAAATCCTCATGTCTTTATATATGCATGAGTTATTCTTCTAATATATATCTATCTATACACATATATATATATAAATATATATATATATATATAGAGAGAGAGAGAGAGAGAAACTTGGGACCTATTTCCCTACAACCAATCCTAAAAAGAAAGAGAACCCTCCACAGGGATAGTGACGTGACTTAGTCATTTTCTAAATAAATATATCGATTATAATTCAATAAAACTTCAAAAAATAGCAGTAATTTTTCAAGTCGATCACAAGGATGTAATATAATATCTAGTAAATACTCAGAATTTTTCTCAATGAATATGATTTTCTATGAATTTTATACTAAGAAATAAAAAAAATTATTTAAAATTTATGAAAAAAGGAAATAATTAAGCCATTGCTGGAGATATTCTAAAAATTAATATACAATAACTGAGTCATGTCAATATTACAATCTTTATGAGAATTTAAGTGAAAATTCTAAAGATCAAGCCTCTTTTGAATTATATGATAGGGATAAGAAGAGAAGAATTTATGAATTGCATCATGATGATGATTCTAAACTTAGAAATGAGGTTAATCAGATTAATCAAAGGTTAGAAAAAATTAATTTCCTTATTGACAATATTAGAAAGCCTTTTAATCCTCAAATTAATTCGAATAGTATATGTCTTATGTATGGTAAAAATGATTATTCTGAATTTCAATGTTATAATGTAGATCAATCATTTCACCCTATGCAAGAACAAGTGCAAGTAGCTAATAGTTTTAATAGAAACAGGGAACCTTTTTCAAATTCTTATAATCCTAATTGGAGGAATAATTTTTCATGGAGAGACCCAAATAATATTCAAAATCCAGAAGCACTTAGACCCAATTCAAACTCTAAATTTCGTCCAAAACAAGAAAACAGATTTCAGAAAAATCAGTCCTCTCAAATCCAACCTGATGTTATGGAAATGATACAGCAAATGAGCCAAATGATACAACAAACTATGAATCAAATGATGCTGCACTAGAAATAAATTATAGAGGTTCTTAGGAATAAGAGAGAAGAGGGACAACTACTTAGTCAGCTCATAGAAAATCTAAAGAATCGCCCAACAATAGAATTTCAGCAAGGGGAGTCTAGTAGCATGAATCTAGAAAAAAACTCACGAAATGAAAATGTTAGGAGAGTGAATGCATTAAAGAGTAGTAAAATCTTACCTGATCTTTATCCCCAAATATTAGAAGAAAAAGAAAACATGGACAAACCAAAATAAAATCAAATAGGAGTAGAAGAGAATTTTATAGATTCTACCAAAGAAATTTTGAAAGAGAGGACGACCATTTCATTTCCTAAAGCTCTAGAGCCTAGACAAAAAAAGAAAAAGGAACACAATGAAGAAATAAAGAAAATTTTACAAGATGTACAAATTAGTCTTCCTTTACTCATTACCATTGAACATATTCTTGAATATGCTAGAGTTTTGAAAGAAATGAATCCACCAATATCACACAAAATTAAAGGGACACCTGTATCTCTCAATTTATATGGTAATTAATTTAATAATAATGCACTAGCATGCATCAATAATTTTTCTACTCTATGTGCCCTTTTTGGTGTACACATTTCTTTCAAAACTCTAGCATATTCAAGAATATGTTCAATGGCAGTGAGTAAAGGAAGACTAAATTGCACATCTTGTAAAATTTTCTTTATTTCTTCATTGTGTTCCTTTTTGTTTCTTTGTCTAAGCTCTAGAGCTTTAGGAAATGGAATAGTTGTCCTCTCTTTCGAAATTTCTTTGGTAGAATCTATAAAATCTTCTTCTACTCCTATTTGATTTTGTTTTGGTTTGTCCATATTTTTTTTTCTTCTAATGTTTGGGGATAAGGATCAGGTAAGATCTTACCACTCCTTAATGCATTCACTATCCTAATATTTTCGTTTCATGGGTTTTTTCCTAGATTCATACTACTAGACTCCCTTTTGTGAAATTCTATTGTTGGGCAGTTCTCTGGATTTTCTATGGGCTGACTAGGTAGCTGTCCCTCTTCTCTCTTATTCCCAAGAGCCTCTATAATTTGTTTCTGGTGCAACATCATTTGATGAATAGTTTGTTGCATCATTTGGCTCATTTACTGCATCATTTCTATTGCATCATGTCGGATTTGAGAGGACTGATTTTTCTAAAATCTATTTTCTTATTTTTGACGAAATTCAAAGTTTGAATTAGGTCTAAATGCTTCTAGATTTTGAATATTATTTGGGTCTCTTCATGAAAAATTATTCCTCTAATTAAGATTATAAGAATTTGAAAAAGGTTCCCTGTTTCTATTAAAATTGTGAGCTACTTACACTTGTTCTTGCATAAGGTGAAATGATTGATCTAAATTATAATATTGAAATTTAGAATAATCATTTTCACCATACATAATACATGTACTATTCGAATTAAGTTGAGGGTTAAAAGGCTTTCTAATATTGTCAATAAGTAAATCATTTTTTCTAATCTTTGATTAATCTAATTAACCTCATTTCTAAGTTTAGAATCATCATCATGATGTAATTCATAAATTCCTCTCTACTTATCCCTGTCATATAATTCAAAAGAGGCTTGATCTTTAGAATTTTTACTTAAATTCTCACAAAGATTGTAAATCTCATCAAGAGTTTTCTCCATAAAGGCTCCTCCACATATAGAATCAACCATATTTCTATGTTGTTATAATAATCTATCATAAAAAATTCTATTAAGCTGCCACTTGGGTATAGCATGATGAGGACACTTTCTAAGTAAATCTTTGAATTTTTTCCATGTCTCATGCAAAGTTTCTCCTAGTCTTTGAGAAAAACTCCATATATGTTTTCTCATATTTTGAGTTTTTCCTAAGAGATAAAATTTTTGAAGAAAAGTCTATTTTATATCTTTCCAACTAATTAATTCTCTATCTAATGTGGATAGCTAATGACTAGCTTTGTCCCTAAGTGTACGAGGGAATAATTTCATCTTAATAATTTCCAATATAACTTAAGGGAGATTAACTAAATCATAGACCATATGAAATTTTTTTAAGTGCTGATGAGGTTCCTCTAAAGGCAATCCATGAAAATTAGGGAGTATTTGAAAAAAAAATAGATTTATTTCGAATTTAATAGTGGGTGTTAATGGGACTCTAATATTGGATGCTCTTTGAAATGAATCAGAGATATAATGATTTTTCATGGCCATATGATTGTTCTTAGTTTGACCTGTACTTCCTTCAAGATCTATCAAAATTAATTTTTCTTTCAGATTTTTATTTTTGAATAAAATAATGAAAGAATTTTCTAGCCTTGGATGTAAGGATCTTCTACCATGCATAAAAATCAATAAATTTGAGAGAAAAATTTAGTAATTGTTACCCTCCTTCAGTATGCTCCATTTCTTGTCTTGCTTCTTTTCGTTCCCTTTTTCTAAAAAAAATCAGCAAAAAGAAAATAAAAAAAGAGTTAAAAAAATTTTGTGTACTCTAAGAGAAAAATAGAAAAATACTAAATATTATACAATATATCCTCCCAGCAACAGTGCCAAAATTTAACGTGACTCAATTGTTGTATATTAAATCACACAAATATAAAATTTATAAAACTAAAAAATACGAATTTTTAGATATTTAGAAGTATTTCAAAATAAATATATATCGATTATAATTCAATAAAACTTCCAAAAATAGTGGTAATTTTCCAACTCGATCATAGGGATGTAATGTAATATCTAGTAATGAATACGATTTTCTATGAATTTTATACTAGGAAATAAAAAATAAATCTATTTAAAATTCACAAAAAAGGAAAATAAAGGTGCTGACATCAAGATGACGTTAGTGCCTGGCGAACGTGAATTGGACAGAAATAAAGTTCCGCCCGACGATTCTTACGTAAGTGATTATAGACGATTTAATTGATCAAATTAAGATCTTTAAAAGCCGAAAGATTGTAATAGAACAAAGTATATTTGATAAATTAAAATCACAAAAACTATCACTAAATGAAGCGTAAAGTAAGTTGAAATTAAGAAAATAGAGTTCCGGCATCACGACGGCGATGCGTCGACGATGTGCCGGAATCTTGAGCGTTCGGGAGGATCGTTGTGTAGTGTCCATGGCCTCGAAGGCTCTCCTTGGACAAAGACGACGTGGGCAATCTCTAGATCTTCTCGCGAAGTCTAAAGATCACTAAAATGGGTTGTCGAGTCATCTCCAGCGGTTGTCACCTGGTAGAGCAGAAAAACAATGACTTTGTGACTCTCCAACAGTTGTCACCCGACGGAGAGAAGCTAGATGGAGGTGGGGCGTGTGTCAGGGAGCTTCATCATCAAGTCCGCACAACAAGAGGAGGCTCTTCATCGCATCTAGTATGCTCTCAAGAGGTGACGACTCGTCTCTCAACGGGTTGTCCTCTTCTTGATGATGGCTTGTTCATTGATCAATCAGAGATGATTTACTCAATAGATTTGCGATCCTTTTATCGTGAATCGTTCAACAATTTTAGTAGCAATGCTCCACGAATCACGTTGATGAGATTTTCGCTGATGATCCAGTGATTCTTGTTGCTTAATCCTTCACCAATGATCTGTAGGAAAGTCGCGATAATCAAATAAAAATATATGAATTTTAACTCTGGGAGGATTCAAACTCATGTCGGTCGCCCGCCTCTTCTGAGGAAGGTGTGACGCATGTTTAGTCTCACATCAGTTGTGCGCTGATTTTTCAAGCGAATATATAATAATGTTAGCTTTTTAAGCAAAGTCCCTTCTTTTGTGTGTACGACCACTCCTTGCCCTATAGTCGACTGGCCACTAGTGACGTGGAAGGGGAGTGGCACACAGGTGCCCTATCAGTCCAAGCCAAGCTGCTTGAGCCCCTACTCACAGCTACTCTCTGATTATGCTTCCGACCTGCTTGTAGGTCCAGCTGGCTGGCGGGTGCCCCCATTTTGCCATATTTTTATTTTTATTTCTTGTTCTTCATTTATCTCAAAAGTAAGACTATAAAAATCGTATAAAATCACATAATTACCCAAAAATACACATTAATCAACTAAAAACTACTTTTCACACTTTAACACAATATAAGTTTATTTATCATGAGTTATGGCTAAAACTATATTATTTAATAATTATTAACTCATGATAATGAAGACTTATTAGATAGCACCTACATTTGCATTTGTGAATGAATGATTTTCTCCTTAGACCAAGAGGTGTACAATTCATTAAAAAGACAGCCAGCTTCTACCCTTGCCAACACTTAGATGTACATGGAGTGCAAGATATTAGGCTCCTTTCATCTTACTTTTAATTAATTTGTGGTTAGGATAAGCACTTAACCAAATATTTGCATTGAATTAATCTCTAGCTCTAATCCTCCTTATTTATTATTGTTCAAAGATCCATTACATAAACACTTGGAATGAATTTCAAGTTTTCTTTATTAAATTTCAATATTAATAGTGATCATGATTTCACACATTTATATCAATTTATCTAAAAATAGACTATAAGATATACATAGAAATTAGTAGAATGAGCATTGTATTGAAAACTGATAGTATTAAGCTTCACCTCCATAGCTAAGTTTTTTGAGGCCTCCTAACATTTATTAGTTAAGAGATAATAGTTATTTTTTCATATGTCACTGATTTGGTTATGTTGAGAAAAATAATGTATCTTTAATACAATCTGAAATTTTACATTAATCTTTTTATATTTGTGATATAAATTGATGTGCGTTATATTTGAACGTATTAGATGTTATATATATTTTTGAAAAAACATTGTTAAAATGAATGGCCAGCATTCAAAAGGAAGGTCGACTATCTAGACTCATATATGATCTTAATACTTTCTACTAGCAATTATTGACATCTTGTTGGTTCTCCCATTAGGCAATATTACATACAAGAGAGGGGATAAATTAAATTATATTAGGTTTAAAAATATTAGTGATTTTAAATAGTTTCTACCAAATTATTGTCCACACAATCTATCATAGGTCAACACATATTGCGCCAACACAATGATTTGGGTCAACATAGTGCGTAAATACAATAATTGGCTAGATAGGTTGACATGCTAATTGATCTAACAAAGTAGATACATTTGTGGAAAGCCTTCAATGGTTTCCTTTTCAAAACATTCTTTTGTGTAGTATTTAATTATTCTTCATGATATTTACCACATTTTTATCCCTATTTACATTTCAGTGGGTTGTTCTATTATGAAAAGTTATGAGAAAGAGTATATTACTGCATCTTTAATTCATGAATGGCTAATGATCATCGTGTCCTGCATGATGGATCCTCTACTTTTCTACATTCTTCTCACAAGCATGCCAATCCCTATGTTATGTGAAGCTTAATAAATAGATAAAGTCTTATACATGTTGAGGTTGCTTGCATTGTCTTAGGGTCCTTACCTTTGAGTTCTATTAGTCTCCTTTAAAAGAATACAGCTAGACATCACATGATCAAAAAAGCTCTTACATGATATATTTTGAGTCTTTCACCCCACATTAGACGAAGACACTAGTCATCTTTCTAACTTTTATTACAATTATTTCCCCATAATGTCCTCATGTACTAAATCAAGTTTAACAAATTTTTGAATGAAAGAGCTCGTTTTTATGACCATTATTGTTAGATTTAACTATTGGATGAAACTTATGTACACAAGAACTTGTAATAGATTTTCTAAAGTGGATTTAGAGATGTGAAGAAAGAGATGGTTGGTGGTTGATGTTCTTTGATAGTTCTTTTGTACTTCTATTTATAAAGCCCTAAATATTGATAGTTTGATATCAAATTTGTGAGATATGTGAACCAAAATTTATTTGGGTCAACTTGTTGTTAGATTGGGTGTGATTAAACTATTGTCATATTTTCAGTTTGACCAGCTTTTAACCAAGTTGCTTTACATAGATGCTAGTTAAAGATTTGTTGACATATTTTAAATTTTCTGACTATTTCAATATATACCACCCTTGTTAGAGGTCTTCTACTATGCATTAGATTCTCTCTCATGTCATGTGCCAAACCTCATAGAGAAAATCTCATTTTTATCTATTGTAGGATTTGGTTTGATTTGACTGGGTCTACTCGTAGGCTAACACAATCTTATGTGGATTAGTACATTTCTCTTTCCTAAGGTGGTCGATTCATTTTATATGCTTTCTTCATTTTGAGGTCTGAAGAAATATTTATATAACAATAAAAATAGATCAGTGATTTAGATCTGTATTCTTGGATTAGTATCCAAACACATTTCAGTGTAATTTTTTATTTTAACTTTATGGAATTCGTTATTCATATCAAAATCATTAAATCTAGCACATCCTACATTAGAAATTATATTAAACACCTTTTTTAATTTATGTACTTACATCTATGAAACATTCATAAGATACCAAGCATAAGAGGTCAAATATTAAATGTCCCTAAAATTATTATGGTGATTTCATTAAAACAAAATCTCAAATAAAAAATTCACACTAAATATAATTTCGTGGTATTTAAAAAATAATACATTAAGAGAATGCTTCTAAGTATGAAATCTGAATAAATCTACCACAAAGGTTAGATTTGTGAAATGGTGATTCACAATATATGATGTTAACCAAGGAAAGCAAAAAATTGAACTCCAAGTTATCATAAGTGCTAGAACATGACAAGTTCTTTGTGGTGAGGACACATCTACAAATGAATGTAAAACCACAAATAATGAAATATTTTCATAGACATTATGAAAAGAGTACAGTATGTCCACACCATCCTGGCATTCAAGTGGACGAAAATCAATAAAAAAATATAATAAATAATTAGATAGTTCAAGGACTTTTTTGATATATAACATCTTAAATGAGGGGATGCAACACAGCTTTCTCTCAACCATTATACATCGATTTTTTTCTATATTCTTGATCTAGAAGTTAGTTTGGTAATTTGGCATTAATCATGAGCATGAATAAATAGCACATGAGCAAAGGCAATCACTTTGTAATCCATGAATGCTAGTCATTTGAAAACCTTGTCTATCTCCTTGATTATTCACAAGGGTGAAGGGTTCTAGTTGTTGCATGCTGATATCCAACTCGAAAAGGCATTCGCTTCTAAAAGTTTCGATCCTCTACGATGAACTCCATTATAAAATTTTCTTCTTCGCAAAAAAAGTGGGCCTTAGATCGCTAACGCGTGAGCAAATTTACAGTATTAAAAGTATATGTGCATGGAGGGGGAGAGAGAGAGAGCGGGGGCGGGGAAGAGTAATCGTCTTCGTTTATGTTGTTACGAGAGGCTTTAAATACAACTTCCTCTCTCTCTCTCATCTCGAATCTCGAACGCTAGATTTTGCCGACGACTTTTTACTTCAGACGTCTCGGACGCCTGAGTCAGATGTTGCAGTGAAGAGCAGGTGCGACGAAGTTAATGCTCCTCGAACTCCTTCCCGGGGCCTCCCCCTACCCCCTCTTCCCTTCCAAACCCTCCTGCTTCGGCCCCTGAGTGAGATCAGTTGTTCTAGAGAGAGAAAGATGGCCAGGGAAGAAGAAAGGGTGTTCACAAACTTCTCCCCCAGCGACGCGGTGGAAGTGAGCGCCGATGACGACGGCTTCCGCGGCGCCTGGTACGAAGCGAAGGTTCTGCGCCCCTTGCGCAGAGCCGGCAGCTACGCCGTCGTCTACGACCATCTCCTCGCCGGCGGCGATGAAAATCTCCGGCCCCTGCACGAGATCGTGCATGCCTCGCACGTCCGTCCCCGCCCTCCTCTCCACTCGGCGCTTCTCCTCGTGCCGCACCGCCCCGTCGACGCCTGGTACAACGACGGCTGGTGGGTCGGCGTGGTGATGGCCGCCATTAGCGGCCGCGGGAAGGGGAAGAACAGGAGGTACAATGTGTGCTTTCCCATTTCCCGGGAGGAGATGGTGTTCGAGGAGGCTCATCTCCGGGTGCACCTCGAGTGGGTCGACAACCAGTGGATTGACCCCGAGTTGATCACCTCGGTAAGAGATCTCCTGCTTCCTGTTCAAGCTGTTCATGTTCCTTCCTTTTTCAGCTGCTCTCTCTCTTCCTGCGCAGGGGTCAGTAGCCGCTGAGGCTTACCCTCTGGGATTCCAAGTTGAAGTCTCTCATGACTCGGGAGCTTCCCTCTGCGCCTGGTTCGTGGCGGCCGTGGAGAAACACATTTGGAATAACAATCTGCTTGTGAAGTATCAGAAGCTGGCGGCGGATGGCGGGGAAGATCGCCGGAGGGAGATCGTCCATCTGCAACACGTCCGTCCCCGTCCTCCCGCTCCAAGCTCCGGCGAACCCGGCCTCCTTGAGGAAGTCGAAGTGCTCCATGAATGTGGCTGCTGTGCGGGAGTTGTGTCCAAGATCCTCCCGGGTCTCAAGTACTCAGTCAAGTCTGAACACTGGGACGGCGAGCTGGAGTTTCATCAGGACGACGTGAGGTTGCGCCAGGAATGGACCAATGGCCGCTGGGTTTTGCCAGCCAAGGTATATATATACAGATAGCCTTTCTGATCTCTTCTTGCTTGTTCTTTCCCCTCTTCTGCTGCAAGAAGGAAGATTCCTCTGCTGTTTCTTCCCTCCCCCATTAATCCACTGTTACGTATATAGTCAACGTTTGGATCAGATGGCCCCATCCATCGACCTGCAGCACTCCCATCCTGCACTGAAATTACTCAATCCAATCCAGCGTGATCCGGCCTGATACTCAGTTTAGACTGAAGTGGAGGAGAGAGTGAGAAAGTTAGGAAGATGCTTGCAGAGTTGGAGGGAACCCAAATTCGAAAGCAAGCTTGGAGGATCTAATAGTGGAAAGAAGAGAGTAAGAAGACGACGAAGGAGAGAGTCATGGCGTGAGCATCTGAAGTCTGTAGAGAAAACAGACTGCGGTGACAGAATATGTACCGTGTCCATGCTTTGCGCCGGCTTTGCAGGTGGATGATGAAAGCCTGATCTCCTTTTGACTTTTTTCCTTTTTGAAGAGATGGTGTACGGCAGTATTTAAACCACTTTCGAATCTTTGGGCTTCTGCCCTTGAGAATGATCGCCGTGGATCGTTGGTCAGAGATTTTGGAGCAGACAAGGCATTCATTTGCTGGTAGGTCGTTGACTTTTCGTGACATATTCTTTTCTGTTCATTGTCTGGGTCAGGAAATTTGGGGGCGCCTTGGACTGCTGTTCACGAGGGGCACGAAGGTGGAGGTCAGCAGCGATGACGATGGCTTCTGCGGGGTTTGGTATGCTGCGACGGTCGAGCAGCCGCTCAGTCCGAGAACGTTCCTGGTCGAGTACGACGCTCTGAGGACAGATGACGGCGCGGAGCCGTTGAGGGAGGGTGTGGACGCCTTCCACATTAGGCCCCCTCCCGAGGCGCCCGCGGTCAACACGTTCAAGCTGCTCGAGGAAGTCGACGCCTACTACAACGACGGGTGGTGGGTGGGGGTCATCTCCAGGGTTCTCGGGGGTTCAAGGTACGGAGTCTATTTCAGATATTCGGAAGAAGAGCTGGCCTTTGGCCACGCTGATCTGAGGCCCCATTTGGAGTGGATCAACGGCAGATGGGTTCAGGCTTCTCAAGCAATTCTCCCTCCAATGTGAAAGTGGGAATTTGCTCTCTCTCTCTCTCTCTCTGGATTCAAGGAACCCACTATAGGAATTCAAGAAAAATCCTATTTTTGATCCTTGGGGATTCAAAGGCTGCCTGCCCATGTCATCATTCTTCAGGAATCCGATGACTTCACCTTTTTTTGTCCCTGTGGATTCACGGTTCAAGCTCTTGTCGGCTTTTTTTGCTATAAATGGAAAGCGATGTTCTTGAGGGAAGCTCTCGAATCCCAGTTGATGCAGATCGTTTCTCTTATTTTCTCACAATAAGAGAAACGATGGCTTTTTACAGAAAAATCCTCCGATACCCAGCTTGACACTGTGTAAGATCATCCGAAGAACAAGGATATGGCAATTAATTACCTATGGACGAACTCATGAAACTTGGTGCATTCATATTTACACAAAAATATGATTATCACTCACAAATATATGCATTTTTTTATTTTTTATTTTCTTTGTGTTGTCATTTCATGGGTTTATTTATCGAATCCCAATTCTGGTCAAAGCGAGCCAATCAGAGACTTCCACATGCTTATGAGTGATTGGTCGGTTCCTTGCCAGAAAAAGTATCATTAGGTCAGGGAAAATAGTGTTTTTCTAATATACTGAACTCCAAATATACAAGTTGAAAATGGGGATTTTTCGTGAATTAAAAATATCATAATATTAGCCCTTTTGGAAAGTGTATGCTCTGGTCAAGTCAGAGCAACTCTCATCAAGCGGTACTAACACCGTTCGTGACGGAACTCCGGATCCGTCTGCCCCCGGCAAGCAGCGCAAAAGGGGCCTCTCTCTCTCTCTCTCTCTCTCTCTCTCTCTCTCTCTCCGCTTCTCCCGCTCCCCACCTCCCGGGTGCCATGTCAACGCGACCCAGGAGGCCCTTCTAACTTTGTTCCGAGGCTCGACGGGCAACCCAACGCATCCCCCTTCGCCCGCGGAAGTCTCAAGTCATTTTCTTCCAGCCGAATCGAAGGTATATGGTGCAGTGATACAAAATCACACTTCTCGGACCCCTTGCTCTTATATGCTGATTATCTGTCCCTTTCTCGGTGCATTCTGCCTTTGCTCTCTCCTCGTCCTCCTTTTTGCGGTTCTCTGAATGGTTTTTTTGTGCTTAAATCTAAGACTCTGTGGCTGGGTTTCCACTGGAAGAATCATCTTGTCGCCTAACAGTTGAATTGTTCACGGTTGTCGTTTCTAACAAGGATGCATCTAATGTCTGTGTTACCTAAAGTCTGAAAAACCTATTAATTTTGAGATTGTTTGGTTGGGGTGACGCAGCGACTTTCAGATGTTTGAGATTTCATTTTACATTTTACCAATTTTATTTTTATAGATTAAATTTAAACGGCACTCTCAGGTTCCTTCGTGTAGCTTAAGCGTTGTTGGTTTGGAATTTCCTGTGCCAAGTAGACCTGTTCTAGTGTGAACCATCGGTTGTTAGGACCTTCTCTAGGGTTGCCTAGAGAAGTTTCTCTTTTGAGAAGGAATAGCGGAGGACCCCTTGTACGTTCTGTGATAGTCAATGCGATTGAGAAGTTTGGTTATAATTAAATTGTTAGCTTTATGGAGCTCTGTTTTGCATCTTGCTCCTTATTCTTCATAGTTTCTGAAATAACATCGGTCCTAGAAAAATTGCGTGGGAACTACTACAACTTTTTGAGATTTTTATTTAGCAAGTCAGATGATCACGGAAAATATGGCCTTGCATATTATAGCTATGGTCTGCGTGGACCGTTTTGGTCAGAGAGCACGATTTTTTTTCTATTTCTTAAGTACCGGTATCTCGACTGCTTCAATATATCTTCACCTTGATGGTTGTGAGATAGTTAAGTGGCGACATGATACGAAGCCTATTTGATCTATCCCTTGAGGAAAAATGTTGGAAGCTCTAAATGATGTCATTATATGTGTTATCTGATACCATTTTTGACAGCTTTGAATCGGGAGTGTATCTGGTTATTTACTGAACACATCCAAGTATTTTGATCTATTTCTGATTATTGGACTGTTGGTAAATTGATGAAGTAAGATTTCTTGCTAAGTAGTTTTTCATCAATTGATATAAGATAAGAAGCACTGTTTGGTATTCAACGAAACGCCACAATAAGGCCATTAAATGAAGTGAACAAAAACTTGACTCCAGTAGTAAATGAAAAAGTCCCTGCCATCTCTCTCTCTCTGTCTTGCTCGCTCGCTCACTCTCTCTCCCTCTCTCACACTTCTCCATCTATTTTTTCTCTGTCACTCCCGAGCATTACTCTCTTCCCTGTTTCATCTCTCTCTCCCTCTCTCTCTCTCTCTGTCTGTCTCTCTCTGATTTATTAAGACTTTTTACTCTATTAAATAATAAAATACTAAGGCTACTTGTTTAGAAAAGATTAACAGCACAAGGCTATAAAGTATTATCGGCATTTATGAAACTGAATCAAATTGAGGACAGTCCTATCCATCATGAAATTTATGGGTTGTAAAAGTCGTGGAAAAACTGTGGAGTAATTCACTATGGGCGTAACCTACTAGACTGAAAAATGAACTGGCCCCTTTTCAAATTGGCTTGAACTACTAGTTGTTGGAAATCCCCTGCAGATATCATTAAGTCGTCAGTTTGTTATGCCATGGTTCTTTTTCCAACTTAGGAATATCGATTCTTGAAAAATCCCTCAGTTGTGTTGATTGGATATATCCCATATCATAAATTGTTGAAAATCTGTATGCTTTCTGTACTTAAGTGCCAGAATGTGAATGTCTCCCCAAACTATGATTTTATCTCACTCAGACATCTCCCGATACATACATACTTCTTGCAGCCTTTTTGGGAGGGAGGACATGTGTGATAAGTTTCTTGGATATTTTTTCTCACGTCAGATCTGGCAAAGGCCTTCTGTAATGGTTATTGTTTGGGACCTTATAGCAGCTATGAAAGAGATGGAGTGACTGTAGTGGAATGGCTCCCTCAAATGGAACTGAAAAGTATAGTGGCTCATTGTTCATGCGCTTTTGTGAGCCATTTGAAACAAGCTGAACAATGAGATCTCGAGGCATAATCTGGCAGTTGATTGAGTTTTTCCCATTTTTCTATTATGTATTTAAGTGTCAGTTGACTGAGTTTGGGATCTTAGAAAATTCTGCTCCATCTGGGTGTGAATCACTTTTGTATGGGTATTTTTTGGTGAGCTTATTGCATGCATACTGGTGTGTCCATATATCTGCTTTTTCGTACTCAATGAATTTGTAATACTGTGCACGTCAGAAAGTACTTTTATTTCACCCTTTTTTTGTATCCTCTGTGTAAAAGATTGACCTGGTGCACACTCATCCCCCTGATGTTAGGTCCTTTTTTCATGCTATTTCCTTTTCATTGTCTTTTCATCACTTGATTTTTATGTTGTTTTTGTTGGAGTTTGTGCGTTAACCTGTTGAATGTTTTCAGTTTCATATTGATTTCCAATTGAAGTATTGATTATTTGATAAATGATATTCATTGTCTCTGCTCATGAATATCATTCTTCTGATACTTCTCCATGGACCTTTTAAACCTCAAAAAGTTAGAAAGCATGTGCATATTTTTAGGTTGGTGTTGATAAATGAAAGCTCCGTAGCCTTTAAGAGACACTTAGAAAATGTGTCCCCCATCTCAATGATTTTATTTTTCATGGTCATGTTCATCAGAAAAAACGTTTAATTGAGCTGTTTTTTTTGTTTTAACTCATCTCATTGTCAGGTTTTATTCTGATACCATTTTCTGTTACGGTGGTTATCATGGTTGACGAAAACTCACACCTTCACATGCTATTTTCTTGAGATTCTGATTCTGTGTTCACTAGATCCTTATTGTGTGTTCTTTATTGCTTTTGGTGAAAATGCTAGCAATTTGATATTTGAGTTGAATTACCTATGATTTGTAAAAAATTGAGCATTTCCTTCGGGATTGTTTGAAAGTTATTTTGTTAGTAGATATGCTTGCTGCCTTGTTATTGAATAGTTCGACTATCTGCAAAGTTTTACTCTGATAATGCTATCTTCTGTGAAAGTTTTTCTTATTTCCATCTTATTGGATATTCATTCACTCTTCAATATGTTTCTCATAGTTATAGTAGTAAATTCCCTGGCAATTCAAACTTTTTCCTTTGGTTTTATAATCAACAAATGATTGTGGTTGCTACCATTCAACTATTGCTAATTCTGCGCTTGGGCATACATTTTGATCTCTCACATTGACTCCCTATATTTGCTTATGCACCAGAAATGGATTTGATGTGCTCAGTCTAACCCAAGCAGCTGATTAATGATGGCTCGAAAGGGGAACCAACAAAGGAATGGCTTGCATCATGGTGGATCTAATCTCACAGATACAAAGTCTGAGACTGCGGGCAAGCCATTATCAGATGAAAGTGATACGTTCAAATCATGTGAGGGAAAAGTTCCTGACAGTAACACAGTTCCAATTTGTGAAGTTCACGGCCAATTGAACAACCCTTTGGAAGATGGGACAACATCTACTAAGTTTTCTGCAAGAAGGAAAAAAAGTAACAAAAGATCTGGCAAAGGTTCTAATAGACAAAGGTCAGAGGACAGTAGAATGCCAAATTTAGAAGAGTCTGTTCCCTCATCTAGTAAAACAAAAGATGGTGCAGATTTTGGTTCAATATTTGATGGTGCTGAAACAAGAGAATATGGTGGAGTACCACAGGATAGCAATATCAATTACGAGAGTCCAAGGAATAATATGCGTGATAATTCGACTGGTGAAAATGTGTCCGCTAGTAGCAAATCTTCAGATACAATGCCCAGTGGCGGGTTAACCACATTGACTACATATGTTCTAGGAGTAGTGAAGGAATGGCTTTGGAAGCAGAAGCCATGGGTCACCAGCTTGTCAATGCAAACATATGATTTGTGGAACAAGGCCCTTATCAAAATAGAGCATGGATATCCCATTGTTTTGACTTGGATTTTGCACGTAGGAAAGTTAATTTTTCTTCTATCCATGGTCTGGCTGGACTGTAGCCTTAGAGGACTTGATTCCTTGTTACGGTTGGGCACAACATCTCTTTTTACTGTTATTTGGTGCAGTGTACTCTCAACTATTGCAATGATCGGATTCTCAAAAATGTTCACTATTATGGTGAGTGTTAATTTTATTGGTTTTTTTCTGTTTTTAATAAAAGAACCCTGCACTGGGTGCTCCAAATTCAAGCTATTTAGCAAGCGGTTCCTATATGCCGATAATGGATTGCGGAAGTAACCTGTTTGGTTACGGTGTTTTGTTAAATGTACATATAGACTAACATTTTAGCTAGTTTCTGATAATTTATAACTGTATCCAGACTATTGCTGATAATTTCATGTCAACATTGCAAACAAATAATTCCTATGAATGGATTGATACAAAAACTTATGTCAGTGAACGCCTTAACTTGAGGTCTGCTCAGATCGCTGGATAAGAAAAGTGAAGCTTTTTCTAAGACGCATGTTTTTATTTTTATTTGCATGGTCGAGGAAACCATATAAATTTTCTTTTGAAATGCTAACAAAGTTTCCTTTTTTATTGAAATAAAGCTTCGTAAAAGGCTTGTTCTTGTGTCCAGGATACAATGCCAAAGGTTTATAGTAGAAAGATTTCCTTGGTGACAAGTGTCCTAATGTTTTAGCTTCCACTATATTTTGGAAAGGACCTTCAGAAGGAAAATTGTTGAATGTATCGATTGCATTCAGAAGGAAATACCTGGTTGAACAACTTGAGGATTGTAGAAAATGGGGACGGAAAGCAGAAAGAGTCTTCACCATGCGTTTTTTTTAAAACCTTATGATAGTGGTGGATATAGAGTTTGGTGGTAGAGAACGGTTTGGAAACTTCTCTTTGAAAATTAGTCAGCAAGAGGCTGCCTTCTTGCATCAAAATTACAGTCTTTCAAGCCTAAAATTCATAGCAGATGTGTTTCTTATTTGTGTCGAAGGAGACCATTGAGTATTTTTGGTACGTGGGATTATTATTGTGAAGATATTTGCGCTTCTTTTCTTTGTAAATTCAGTTACTTTTTAGATATTGATGTGGCACAAAACTGATACTCTGTATGCCTTCGACTGTTGTTTCTATTTGTGGAAGATTATCTGACCAGATATATCATGAGCTGCTGGGATATTAATAATAGAAAATATAGATAAATCTCAGATGCACTCAGGAAATGATTAGCATGATTGTATTGTGTTCCAAATTTTTCATGAGCAATGTAAATAGCTGATGTTTTTCAAGTATGCCTGCTGGATTTGATCAAAAATAGGAAAAACATGTTACTTTAGCATGTTCTTATGAATCATCCGCCATCATGTTCTATGTGGATAGGAAATATTTTGGTTTTTTTGGGCTTTAATATCTTTACTGCTGTTTTTTTCTTCAATTTGTCTTGTTTTAGTTCAATATACCTTCCAGTTCCTGTTCATGTGTCATTAACTGCCGTAGGGAGAAACTTACTTTTAAATATTTGAAACTATATCACCTCAAATCCCTTGGCAATCACTGTAGATAATAGGCTGCACTCAGGTAGCTGCGACTTAGTGTTGTGGATTCAGCAGTATAGGTTTTATATAAGATATTCAGACTTATGTGAGTCAATTACTTCTGTTTTCATAGGATGAAAGGTATTTTCTCGGGAGAGCATACTGAGGAAGATACATGAGAAATTGTGGTGAAAGATTCTTTTTGAGGTTGTTCCACTTAAGGATCTCTTTGAACCGCAAAGAAAGCTAAATAGAATAGCCAGAAAATAGGCGAAAAAGGTCCATGAATCCTTCTTGAGAGTCTCTGGACATCCACGAAAGAGATGTCAGAACACATCATTTTTGTGTGACCTGGAAAAGAGAAAACTTGAGAAGAGCTTTAGTGAACTGTATCTTTGTACTTTGTTGACATTTGGTACTCGGTAATGATGTGCACATGTGCTCAGGTAGTCCACTGATGTATAATACTGTTACAGTGAATCTTATAATAGATAGGGCAAGAGAATAATGCCAAGGTTCTAACATGTTTTTAGAAGGGATAGTTCCACAGTCATCAAACACCAAAAAAAATAGAAAGAAAGTTTGAACGTGTTTACAACTAGTTCTCCAAAAGACCTCTACCTGACTAGTACATGACCCAATATAAGCTGGAGATTTCTATACCCCACGTACAACATGGCGCACGGCGTATCCATCTGGAATGTCAGGACCAGCCAACCTGACTGTAAACTTGCTGCCTTCCTTCCACTTCTATCTCCACGGTTTGCCTCTTCCATTGACAGTTACCATTTTTGCCTCTACCATTATCAGTTATCACCGATTGGCCTAGTAGGTCCTCCAATTGAAATACCTGATATTTGTGATGCCAAGACCCTCGTCCTGCTGTCTTCAGTATATTCTTTCCCAGCTTATATTAGTACGATCTTAGTACTTTTTCCACTCCTATGACGAAAAGCTCTCCCTTACTCTTCTGACTCTTTGCTGCCTGATTTGGAATCCTGAATTAGGCTGATTAATAAATCCACAGAGGGTAGCAAGACCTTCTATGGCTCTAGGTAACCATCATTCCATTTCCTTTATGTTATTACGCCTCCACATTTATGTGCATTCTTCATCTAATTACTACTGCCAAGGGATGCAGTGTGTTGATGCATGCCTCCTGTGCACGCCTGTGCCTACAAAACCTGTGAGGCTTGTTTGTTGCCTCCAGCTGAACCTCACTCCATCCTGGCAGAGTCGTCTGGCCCAACCATGTGCATATGCAAGCCTCCTCCATTCCACACATGATGTGGCATGCCAATGTGCGCCTCCTGTGCGCGTCTGCAACCAGTTCCTACCTTGATACCAATTTGTCACCGGTTGGTCAGTCTTAAGTATACCTTGCTTGCTCCGCCCATGCCATCCTGGGTTGCCCTTGACAGACACCTGTGACAAATATTCCTAGGAGCGAGGAAGAGCCCCCCCTATTGAATTGACAAAGAAAAAAAAGGCATTCAGCCGACCAGGGATTGGTTAACCTCGATTGAACTATCTGTTTTCTATTCACACATATCTTTCGATGTAGGATAATGAAGAGTACTTGCTCCATGACCTGGCCATCACTGTGCTGCTAGTGCTGGAGATGCATCCCTTACGCTGGGCCAATTTTTCACTCACTTTTGAAACCATCGTCTTATTTTTAGTTTTTTTAACAGTGGTGAAGTCCTATTCTTAAGTTAGACTAAGGGGCCTTTACTCTAGTTTGAGTTCAAGTGTCAATTTTCCACAGCATCGAAGTTAATTTTAGACAGGAATGAAGTTCTATCTTGACTGGAGATTTGCGAGTACAAACTTGGACAAGTTGTAGTCGAATGGAGCTGAAAAGAACATTTCAGCTCTAATATTTCTGAAGTACCTCAAATCTGTTAGTTATGGTCATGTAAAGGTCATGTGCTTGTTGGCTATATTCTAGCTTGATTCTTGCCCACCTTTGATTTTTCTACCGTTTTCTTCTTTTTTTTTTTTCTTTTGAACATATTTACCTCTTAATGGTAGTTACATTGACTTTCGTCTTCTGTCACCGGATTTTTCTCATTTTTATTTTTATGCATTAGGTTTCATCAGAGTCAGAGTCTATATTACTGGCAACCTATAGTCTTAATATCTTGATAATTCATTATCCTGTAAATGAAAATAACCGCCATCTGTGCTCAAGTGTAATATAAAGCATAATACAATCATGCTATCGCTTCAATCACCCAGTTTGTGTGGACAGAAAGCAGTTTACTCCATGTTGATGGCGTTTGATGATTTGCATTGATCAAGATGTTCTGTTCAACTATTGATTGTTGAGTACCATGGTTACATTCTAATGCGGGTTTCCTTATATCTGGCTTTATTAACATTAATTATTTGTTTATTTACTTTCGATTCAGGTGATTACTGGTTTGGTATTTGTCTTCATTGGTCTGCCATTTGCAATATTGGTGCTAGGAATTTTCGCAACTATAATCTTGTGGATTTATGGAAGCTTCTGGACCACTGGTTTTGTCATCTTTGTTGGAGGTTCGATTTTTATTTTGAAGGCTCTCTTAATAGTCTGAGCCACATGCTGCTTGCTGAGTTTTCGTGCATTTTTTTTATTTAAAATACTGAAATGCAGGAATCTCATTCGCCACAAATCACGAGCGAGTCTCACTTTTTATTGCCACTGGATATGCTGTGTACAGTGCTAAAGGTTACATAGGTTGGCCCGGATTGATTTTGGGGTTCAATTTGGCTTTCTTCTCTGGTGATGGTCTTATATACCTTCTGAAGAACAAGATAGATGATCAGAGATCTAATAGGCCTGAGCAGGCTTGGCAATCCCATGGTAGGACAGACCACCACTCCAATGGAGAAACTTGGCAAGATCCTTTTGTTGATGATGCTTCTGTTAGGCACACAGACCGTAGCCCTGGAGTACCATCGACAAGTGGAGCTGAGACAGATTTGACATCTGAAGAAGAAATTATGCGGTTGTTGAACTGTAATGACCATTACTCTGCTCTGGGCCTTGCCCGTTATGAAACTATCGATGCCTCGTATCTCAAAAGGGAGTACAGAAAAAAGGTAACATCTTATGTATTTCCCATTGAAGAGTTTATATTCTACAGCTTGCTCTGTTAAGGTTTTGATTATGAACCCTAGTTTGGTAATTGCCTATTGTTCTTGTGTCTTTTATTTTAAAATGAACCTCTGTGTGTTCCATTTGGCTTCCAGGCAATGCTAGTCCATCCTGACAAGAATATGGGCAACGAAAAGGCTGCAGAAGCATTTAAAAAACTTCAGAATGCATATGAAGTGCGTGCCAGTTCATGCTGTTTTCTCTGCTGAATAAAACTGAGAACTTATCTCTTAAGTTGGAACTGAAACCATCTCATGCATTCAAATCTTCTTCGTCAGGTTTTGTTAGATTCTTTGAAACGAAAAACGTACGATGATGAATTGAGACGGGAAGAGCTGTTGAACTATATCCGAAGGTTACAGACTACCTCCCAAAAGGTATTCCATGCTGTTTCGTTGTTTTCTTCACTTCCTACGGATATTAAATCTAACATCGTTCATTACACATGATTCCACTCCGTGAGCGTTCGTTGGAATAAATTGAGGCTAAAAAACTTAACAGAGAAAGAGTACATCGAGTCACTTTGCCATCAAAGTGAAAGTCTGAGGAGAAATGAGGGTGGAGGACTCTTCTGAAAGAAATTTTTTTGTTGACATAGTGTCGCAGTTACGTTCCTGTGAGAGGAAAACTAGATTTTATTTGACCTTTGAAAAATGTAGGAGCTCTCCCCTGGCAACCTGTTGGGTGCTCTGCCCTCCTTTGATCCATGTCAGTTTCTAAGAGATGCGGATTAAGGAGAAAAGAGAGGATTCCCTTTTGTTTTCAAGGGTAAGGAGGGGAAAGATCGTTCAAAGGGAGATTAGAGAAAGATGAAAAGGAATGGCTACAACAAGTCAACAGCAGTGACGGTGGGCGGAGAGAGAACAATAGCGCTGCGGAAATCAATAAAAGAACCATGTATAGAACCAGATATTTATTTGTCTCTTCAAGCTGACACAGACCACCTAGGTTTTTGGTTGCTTGGACCACTTGTTCCATCGCATATGATTGTCACTGGAAAGCTGCAAACACGAAAGAGTGAATGGACATGCCGTTAATTTGAAACCTGTGTGACCTTTGGGATCGTTAACAATTCGATGAATCTTTCACAGCTGATGGGTGCAATTGACTGCATCTTGGGGATGTGACATCTGCCTTGAGGTGTCAATGGAACAAATGCAGATCAATTACATGTTGTCCACTAACCAGGTTTTCTAGTGAATTGAGGGCCGCATTTTAAGAGAATGTAACCAAAGAAGAGGCACCTAGTCATAGGCATGCACATAAATGTGGCTGTGTTGTCTGTACAAGTCCTATCATCATAAATGTGGCTGTGTTTCCATGAAAAAATCGCAATATGCTCGGATTTGTACGTGTCCTTCACCTCAGAGGGGTCATTGAGGTAACAGTGCTAGGGTATAAATTTACTCTCAAGTTTGCTTCATTCCCACCATTCCAGCGCGATTATTTACTTTGATCATTTACATTTGGTTGAATTTCATCTTGAAATATAGCAGGGTCTATGTGTTTCAGAGTGCAAGCTGAACCCGGCCTAAAACCTGAACTTTGGCTATCTACAGTATGACTATGGTTGGCTTTCTGGCTAACACAGCTTATTAGCATCCCTGGTGATTATGGCATTAAAAATTAGTGTAGCTATTTGATAGTTAATATAATATTTCTCTTGTAAAATTTAAAAATCAGTCCTAAATTAGTATGGTTTTTAATTTTAATATTAAGATGGTGAACAAACCGGTTTTTTTAATTTTTTGTAGTTGCAGTTACTTGTAGGCGTTTACTTAGTTATTTTCTAACTATGTAAAATTTGTTAAGATGGCTAAGTAACTTTACTTAGTAATTTCATTTTACTTAATTTTAATATTAAGATGGTGAACAAACCAGTCTTTGGCTTTGATCATAATTTGTATTATGATTTTTCTCTCTTACTTTTGACTTTTTTAGTTATTTACTGTTTGTTTTGTTTTTCTGAGGGTCTCAGTTTCGTTGAAATCCCATCAAATTGTTTGGGTAATGTTTTCAAAATGGTTAGAGAGAATTATAATCATTTGATTTCGAAAATTAACTATGATATTTTCAACAGCCGAAAATCATGATTTGAGTTTTTTATAAATCTGAAAAAATGGATAGCATAATGAAAACGCTGAAGACAGCAAAAGAGAGCTGATTTGTTTCCAAAGATGTAGGTCTCCATTAAAATTGCAAACCTTTGACTGGTTTGATCTCCAAACAAAAATCATAGAATTTTGGGTAGAATGTATCAGAGCAGTCTGTAATAAGATTTAGGCATGCATTCTGTAATAAGATTTTATTATTCAGGGTGTCTTTTGGTCCACAATAGATTGGCACCCGTTCCCTCAACTTACGTGCAGATCATTTCGCTGTGATTATTGGAACTCAATATGATTGGCAATCAATTAGATTGATCCTCTTATGAAAAGGGCCAATTCTCTACGGGGTTAGTTCCTTCCACGCTCGCTAGGATTGGGGCATTGGACTCTGCCTCAGTAGGGATCCAGATCAACACTTGGCCGGCCATATTTTGCATCAGGATGGAGAAAAGTTTCTGGTTTATTCGTTTGCGATTTGCGGAGTAATTTTTATTGTTTCAAGCTGCTGAAGCCAAGGCGCTGAACTTTCACATGTACCAGCCGATTCCCCTAGATATGACCACCGGTGTGTTGATACTAACCTTTCATGATTGAACGAGTTTCATTCAATCAACACATCCTCAATGAGTGCTTGGCTCCAGCTCATTTTTTCCGGTGACTAAAGCTTGGAAGAGGCAGTCATCTCCTGCTCAAGTTCTGAGGGAGTCCTGAAGGTGCAGATGAAGAGGCCAAATCCTTAGGGGAGATGTTTTCTAGAAAGAGAAGGACAACACCTTTCTTAAGCTGGATATTTTGCTGAAGGGAGGGGTAGTGCTGTGATTTTCCGTGAAGAGTCAACAGGATGAAGGTCTTTGGGCAAAGACTGAGCCAAACAGTGGAGAGCTGGGAAGGGATCCATGTCCTCTCTCACAGCTGCATGAAAGAACATTTTTGCGTCACATTCTGGTTGGGAGCTTTTTTAATCACCTTGCCGGCTAAAAAATAATTCTAAAAAAAGAAAACTAGAGACCCTGAACAAATTAGTATGATTACATTCAAAGGAAGAAAGTCATCAAATTAGTTTCTCTGCATAAACCGGTGAATAATATGATGTGGGACATAAAAAAAATAAGAAATAAAAAACTTTTTCAATTAGGATCACCAAGAAATCTGTGGTTTCTGACCTTGTCATTGCTACTTTTTTGTTTTCTTGGTCCTCCAGAGCGGAAAGCACGGCATATTCACCACCTCTGGATCCGTTCATCCGAGACCTGAAGAGGAAGCCGCCTCCCTGGGAGACTCGAGAAGAATAACCTGCAAGAAGTGCGGCGACTTTCATCTCTGGGCGCAAGCCTCCAGATCGAAATCCAGAGCCAGATGGTGCCAGGTTTCCCCTCCTCGCTTCCCCTCGCACACATCGGATGCCATGCAGCCCTCTAATCCCTTAGTGTTTCTCCTTCTCGGGGGCGCTTCTCTCAGGAATGCAAAGACCTCCACCCGGCCAAGGACGGAGACGGATGGGTAGAACAATCTTTCCAGCCCCTCTTATTCGGACTGCTAAACAAGGTACTGGATCTTTGACCCGACAGCTTCCTCTTCCTCAGCTCCTCAGAGAATGTTTGGTTGCACCGCCGGCCAACAACAGTCCTTCCCGTGGTTTGAAAAACTGGATCTTTGACGCAGATGAGTCCCCCCATTGCGTATGTTTGCGCCGACAGCAGGATATACGATGCGACCGAGTGGTTCCTCTGTCAGGTACGACCATTCATTCCCCCTTGGTAAACGTCAGGCTCAAATGTCAACCAACGAGAGGATTAGAATTAGAGAGAGAGAGAGATGTTTGATGGCACTGGCTGCTTGTCTTCCGCCTGTTTGCTGACGGGAGGAAGCTTCACCTTCTTTGCCTTCCTGTCGCAGGGGATGAGCTGCCCTGTGAACACCCACAAGCCGAGCTTTCACGTGAACACGAGCGTCGCCTCAAGACACGGCACCGCGAGGCCGGGGGCCGACAGAGGTGGTGGCGGCGCCGCGGCCGGCGTGGAGCAAACGATGACCGAGGAGGAATTCTTCGAGTGGCTTCAGTCCGCAGTGCAATCGGGGGCCTTCGACGGTCCCATTGACAGCGATGCCCCCTCCCCTGCCAGGCCCGGCACCAGCAGCGGCAGCGGCAGCGCCAGTGGCTCCAAGAGCAACCTAAAGAAGAGGAAGAAGGGAAAGAAGCAGTGGTGACCGGCCACCACTCCCTCTCTGGAAGAGGAGGGGAGACGGTCTTCTTCAGAGAATTTCATTCCCATCTGATGAAAGTTTTTCTTCTTCATCCTCCTGAAAACAATGAAAGTCCCCCCCTATAATGCGGGTGGCTGTAAAGTTATATTTCTCCCTCTTCACCCAAGAAACGACTGTAATCCTCACATCACATGTTGCAAAGACCTGGCCCCCCCTATTCATCATAAACCTCTGCGTCGCCCATGCAGAGATAGCGAGGTAGAGAGAGAGAGAGAGAGAGAGAGAGAGAGAGAGAGCCAATTATATCAATAACCAAGCGGGCAAATTCATATGAGAACGACATATCATTCAGCTGCAAATAAGGCTTCCACAGCGTCTAGCAGGAGAGAGAGGGGCCTGCTCCCCCAAGTTTTCCCTTGTTGCATGCACAGATCACAAAAGACGACGGACTGTAAATCTCTGGTGGGGGGGGCAAGAAAGCGTTCACAAGTACGAGGAAAGATGAGTCTTCCCCCTTCTCGCCGACTGAGCAGCTCCCCCACCACACCTCTTCTAGTGGCCGTACTTCTGGAACTCCCATTCGCTGTTATCTGCACACCAAATGAGAGATGAGATCCACGCGTGACTCTTATGTATCAGCAGTGCCTGTAATGCGAGTATGTGACGGGCTTCTTTACCGAGTGGGCACACTTGGCGAGTCTTGAGCCATCTGCTGATGCAGTGAAAATGGAATGCGTGGTTACAGACACCTAGCAAGCACGCACAAAACCCGTCAAACCATCCCCTGAAACCAGCGCCTGAAGAAGGCAACGAGAAAACATACAAGAGCGATCGAAGAGATGGACATCTTATCATCATCTACGTATAGACGGACACCCACCCGTCAGCTGAGGCCGCAGAGCCTCTCAACCTAAAGGGGAGTGGGGGGCTTTGTTAGTTGTGGAGAGGTATGCCAAATACACTTTGTTTTTTCTTTCTTTTTTTCCCCGTTTATGGGAAAAGATCATGGCAGAGATCGCTGCTTGAGGTGAAGCCATCAATTTCCTTCTCCAGTATGCATATTTTCTCATCAACAACACATCTCATACATTTCCTTCTCCACCTACAATGCTAAAAAGAAGCCTCTGCGCAACCCCAATCTAATGGTACCATCAAAGTAGTGCAGCACGTTTGCAAACAACGCCTAAGATTCTTGGTGCTTTTTCCATCGATTTCAACCGATGCTGGACCAAATCTAGCCCTGACTAAGCACTCGCTCTGCAAAACTCTGAAAACAAAATTCGCTTAATCCCCTTAAAACTACACAGATCCCAATGCATAGCAGATGGACTTAAATGGGCCCTCAAGGCATCTACAAAACATGCTCATATCAACTCAGATTTCAGCTACCTCCTTGTGTAGCCCAGCCACCAACAAAAGGTTACAGGTTCTCTAGCATCCAACACCTACCCCGTTATATCCCATGAGAATGGTAAGTAATTGAAGGAACAGATGAATTATGTGATCGAGCTTGTTGATACATAACATGACAGAAACCCTTCTCCAAGCATGATCAAGCTTGTAGGGTTATCTGACACAGCATCTGCTCACACTTATCACAAAAAAAGACCAACCCACGGCTTAATAGAGAAAAAAATTCTTTGGGTATAACTCAAACACTGTCTCTCCGTTGCAACATTTTATTATTAAATACTTCCGTTTCTAAAGGATTTATAATAAATTAAGATAAGTTATTCCTCGACTTATTTGGACATTTTGGTGGCAATAAAAAGAAAGGCAGAATCGAATACTCAAAAGTAGGGAATTATAAAGTTTAGACATTAAATCCTGATAGAAAGTTTACGATTAAATTGCATTATCAAAAAGGTTTTAACAACCATCGCAAAACTCTCCTGCGTTCGTTCTTTAAACTCAATATAGGAATTAGTGGAAAGGGATCCAGTGGCTACTGCAGTGGATGGCCGGTAGCATAACTGAGCAGAGGAAAGAAGACAAGGCACACAAGATTCTACTCGATACGTAAGCTTGATACAAAATAATTTTAAAAGGTACTTTTTTAGCACATTTCCCAGTGTGCCAAGATTGGGTGTTTAATTTCGGTGTAACTTATGTACCTTGATCATAGATATGTTTAGTTTTCGTGTTGAATTACTTTAGTCAGCATCTGATTCCAATCATCAAAATTTCTGAAGATGCTGAAGCAGTCTCAGACGTGAGATGTCACCCATCTCTAACTATCAAAAGAACTCTTCTGAGGATTGAGACAAGTATAACAGAGAGATAGCATGAGAGAGAGAGAGAGAGAGAGAGAGAGAATTGATGTCATTCCTAAGATTGTCACTGTTTCCCTCAGTTGAACACAGCGCCTATTTAGCAATGAGAAATGAACATCTTCTTCTTTAACGCAAACCAAAACAAGTAATTAGATAGAGTAACTAAACAAAAATGGGATAAAATGGGTGCGATTCGAGTGAATATACAACCGTTTGGCTTCAATTCAACGTAGTGCATAAAAAGAAAATTTTTGCCATATTCTTATTTGACTGACATAAAAGTTTTATCAAATATAAATTATGCCTGATCGCTGGCCTACGAAGTAACTAGACTACTGAGTAAAAACAATCTGAAGAAAATATATAATAGCCAAATGGAAAAATGGCAAGCCCTTTCCAAGATGAGCCCAAGGACTAATAGGCATGATGCTTATTTCAATTTTTTTCACAAACTAGAAGCAGTAATCAGAACTAAGTCAGGCAGAATGGAAGAATGGAATAATCTGAAGAAAATAGGCATGAGCTATTTTGTGGTTGAAATAATCAATAACTATTTTAGTTGGGGTAGTTGTTTCGTGCCAGTGACACTAAGACAGGCAGAATGGAAGGATGACAAACCTCATTCAATTTTTCGACAGCTGAACTTGAGTCAATTGCCTTAAATTAATTATTCAAGAAGAAAAGAAAGAAAAAACATCGCAGTCACTCACGGATCAAACCATTGAAAACAAGCTCTTCAACGTCATCTTCCCCTTTTAAGAATATAGCACCCTTTGCAGGAATATTACAATATAAATGAGTTAATGAATACTGGAAAAAATGATACCGTACGCCACTTTAGAAATTTCACGAGTCCCGACTTTGTAAACCTAAATGTAACAAACCCTAGATGTTAAAATAACCACATACGACTTTTCTCGCAATTCAATAGTCTCACAAACACGTGTGGCAGGGATCAGCCCACATTCCAGGCAACATATGAACTTTTTTCTCCCTTTTTGGTCACATAGCTCTTCATCTAAACTAAGGATTATAGAACCAAATGGGATTTTCGTATCTTCTGCGAGCACCTTAACACTCTAGATGACACAGATTAATACCAAAAATTATTGATTATGAATCCAAACACAACAATAAGACGCCAGGCATTCGCAATCAAGCAGAACTGAAGCTAACTTGAATAGAAAAAATTGAAACCCAAATCAAAAGGTGAAGTAACGCATCGATTACTCTAGACCAGAATCATCGGTTAATTTATCGATAGATGTGAAAATCCATAGATTTTAAAACAATTACGCGCATGTTAGAAGTTGAAGGTTAAAAGTAGAGTCCAGGAGGCATACCCCAAGCCACGGTGCACTCCTCGCTAGTATTGCTCGCCTGGTTGGCCTGGCACTCGATACCTACTCAAGAAAACCATAACCATGAGACCGCATCACATCAAATCCTTTTGCCGCGGGACAAGAAACAAAAGGGCGTGTGGGATCTCACAGAGATCCATGATGTGGTTCCTGCAAATCGCACAGTTGTCGACCACAATATCTGCATCCAAACACGTAAAACCCTAAGTTGGAACAGCCAGAACACTCTTCCACCATCCGGCCGATGATGGAAGCAAGTGGTGGGTAGAGAGGGGAATCCAAAGCCAAGACAATCCGATCCCTCGAGTCACGTGACACGCACCCCATGCCCAGAGGGCGACGGCGTTCCACTTCTTGATCTCGAACCGCTTCGGCTTCTTCGAGGAACTGGAGGCAGCGGAAGACCCAGGCGGCGGCGTAGCACCGCCGCTGGATCCCTCACCGGCGGGAAGCATGTTCAAATCGGTGTCGAGGGTAGCCATGTCTCCGGCTCCACAGCGAGACTGCTTGCCGTGCAGACGAGAGAGAGGGGAGAATGGGAGAAGGAAGGAGGAGAAGTGAGGGAGACAAAACGAGGACGAATCTTAATCATAGATCCGTGAGAGAATGAAATATTTCAAAAAAAACCTCAAATTTATAGAATATTTGACCATATACCCCTAAACTCTGAGCTGTGGCCCCACCCTCCCCCCTCCCCCCCGAGTTCGGCGGTTCACGTCTTCTCTCACCTATTTCGAAAGATAATGATAATTTATATTTTTTCCAATAAAAATGAGCGAATTTTAAATAGGAGCGTTTCTAATTGGCGTAATGAAGCTCGGGTTTGTAGGGCGTTCCGCTGACATTTTCACCGTTGAAACCAAAAAATTGGTTTTTTATACAGTTATACAATAAGTAGACGATTCCCAGAGCAGGGGCTGATCAAACCCTGCCGTGCATGCCGGCGGGCAGAGAAGAGGGGAGAGAGAGAGAGAGAGAGAGATCAGGAGATCCGACTGGTTGCCCTCTGGAGGCACAGGGCTGCAGAGGCCATCCTGCGCCGAACCTCGGCGACTCTGCCCCAGGCGCCGGTCTCCACGTAGGCCTTCCCCAGCATGGTGAACACGGCGGGGTGGTCCTCTCCGATGCGGTCAGCTGCGAGGCCCAGCAGCTCGAGACCCCCGTGCATGCGGCTGGCGGCGGCCAGGGCGCCCAGCACGACCAGGTCGGGCGCCACCGGCATCTCGTCCACCACCCGTTGGCCCCCCAGCAGCTCCCCCGCCCGGCCCAGCAGGTCCACCACGCAGGTAGTGCTCGACCCGTGGCCTCAAGCCGAACTCCCCCTCCATGGCCTGGAACCACCGCTCCCCCTCACGCACCAGCCCGCCGCGCGCGCGGCGGCGAGGACGGAGACGAAGCTGACGTGGTCCGGCGCCACGCCGGCCGCCGTTATCCTCTGGAACTCGGCCAGCGCCCGCGCCCTGAGCCCCTGGCGGGCGTAGCAGCCGATGACTGCTTTCCAGCAGACAAGGCTGGTGCGGCCGAGTGACCCGAAGGCGCGGGCAGCGACGCTGGCGTCGCAGCACTTGGCGTACATGCCGACCAGAGAGCTCACCAGGATAGCGTCCGGCGGTCCGCCGCACTTTATGAGGTCGGCGTGGAGGAACTCGCCTGAGCGGAGCGAGGAGGAGCCGGCGCAGGCCCCGAGGGCCAGGGAGAAGGTGAATTCATTCTGTGCGGCGCCAGGCGTTCTGGCCATTTCGACGAATCGGTCGAAGGCCTGGGCGAACATTCCGCTGCGGACGTACCCCCTGATGAAGGCCATCCAGGAGACCATGTTCCTCAGCGGCATCCCGTCGAAGCACTGGCGGGCTTCGCCGGGTTCTCCGTCTTTCATGTGCCCGTCGACTATGGCTGTCCAGGCGGGGACGCTCTTTACGGGCATGGCGTTGAAGACCCGGCGGGCCTCGGCGGGGTAGCCCGCGTCCGTCAGCCCACTGATGAGCGTCGTCCAAGTGACGGCATTCTTGACGAGCATTTCGTCGAACGCCTGGCGAGCTCCCCCGCCCGCACGTAGCGGGCAAGCGCCGAGTTCCAGGCGGCAACGGCGGCATTCCACGGCCTTGTCCGCTGCGCAGCCAGCGCGGTTGCGGCGGTGCTGCGCATCAGACCCCACCCGTTCCCTCCAAGCCGCATATCCTACCTAACAAGCGAAACTGAAATGATTTAGCCAAAAGAAAACGTGGCTCGCGCCTCGAGGAGCGCTCTAATGGCGTCCATCCCATCCTTCCAATGAAACCTCCGCAGCAAGCATGCCGTATGTATGTTCAAGGGTGAGAAGGCCTTCTCCTCTCCTACGTTGCCGCTGCCGCTGCAGGGAAGGCACATCAAACAAGTCCATGAGAAAAGCCTAAAAATATAATAGTGAGCCAAACAGCTGGCCGTGATCTTGATCTTCTGGGGAAACTGAAGCATCAGATTGGCATCAGTAGTGATGTGATCCCATGACGCACTAGACCCAACTGATGTGTCATCTTGCCAGTCTATCTATGAGCAGGATTGGATTCGAGAAGCTGAAGAAAGGGTAGAAAGAAAACGATGGGATATGATATGAAAATGAGATCAGATCGACAAAATTTTGCGGAAGTACAAGACAATCTGTGCCTTGGGAGTGTTTCTCGTGCAAGCAGAGAACTGATGATAGCAGCTGCAGCTCAGGCAGAAAAAACAAGATCCGTATGTTCTTGTCATCGCTGATTCTTTCATGAATCTACTTGCTCAAACAGCCATTGTTCAAGCCGAAGGGATCAGATTTCTCTACCGTACATTAATTTATTTATTGGTTCTTCTGAGAGATTTAGGGAAATCCGCTAGCACAGATCGGCATTTATTCAAGTAGAAAAAACCAGATTCCCTCACCACAAGATTGTTTGAGGATTATTTCATGAAATCCAGGATTATCTAGTTGATCGCTCATGCACTGCTAGAGATTTAGGAACTGTGCTCTCTCATATTCACCCGTAAAATTAATTGTAGCAGGATCAGATTTATGTACCTTCCCAGACTATAACCAGGCAGAAGAGGAGGGTAACGAATAGGGCGCAGAGGCTGCTGTTGTTCGAAGACGAAGGCCTAGAGTTCTTCATCTTCCTCGAGCTCTTCAGCCGCTCTGTCCTCGTCCGCTTCAGCATGGCGAGCTCAGACATCTCCCGGATCAGTCTCCGGTCGGCCGCATCCAAGTACGGCTTCATGGGGGGGCGTGGCGGCTTCGGGGGCTTCTGGAAGACCTTCTTTGGCTCTACCTTCTTTGCCGCGAGAGCAACGCTTTCTTCAGGACAGGCAAAGGACGCGTCGGCGGAGGCCGCCTCGCCGTCGCCGACAGCCACCAGCTCATGGCCGGCGGCAATGCCGCTCTCGATGTCACCAACAGCGCCAAGATCTCTCAAACCGCTCGGATCCATATCACAGAGGTCACTGTAGAGTGGCAGATTTTTCTGATCACCCGGGAAGATTTATGAAATTTCCCGCAGGCTGAGGGTTCGAGGATGATGATAATCTCCTCCTCATTGGATGGATTGAATCCGGCCATACCCCATCGAAGCCGCCATCTAGCTCATCGAAAGCAGATAAACATCGAAGACCGTGACCAGAAATTGCAGCGATGAAGATGAACAGTCACAGAGAGAGAGAGAGAGAGGGGGGGGAGAGAGGGGGGGAGGCTTTACCGGAGGAATGCGTCGGAAACTCAAGAATGCAGCAGAAATGGGAACACAGAGAGGGAGAGGATTAGATAAGAACAGAGGGAGCTTCACGAGGTAAGGAGACCAGGGGCAGACACCGTGGCGGCGGATTTATCAGGGTCGTTACTGCGGAGGGTGGGGGGGACGGGGAAGGGTTGGCGGGCACAGACAGAGAAAGAGAGATAGAGAGATGGACCCCAACCGTGTCAAATTGAAATTACGAATCTGGTGGAGGTGGGACAGCATTTAGATGAGGATAGAGAGACAGCGAGCGAGAGAGAGAGAGAGAGCCCCACCAGGCGTTAAATTGAAATTACGAATCGGGTGGAGGTGGGAGAGCATTGAGAAGAGGATAGCAAACCGAATAGGGGTCCAGAGAGAGAAAGCGAGGTGAATAGTTGTGTGACCGTTGACTTTAGAGCTATGAAACTAGAAGAGGTGTGCCAAGTATTTTGCCTCTAAAGTTACTGCAAGACTTTCATGATTCTCAACCAATAATCATCTCTCAGAATCAAGGATGGCAGCTTTCTCACTTGTTATTTGATCTCACTATGTTTTCATTTTCCATCATGGTTAACTTTTTTTTCCATGACAAGCTGATAGAGAAGGTTGACTTTTCTCCAAGTCTGATATTGATCTAGTGTGGGCTAAGGTAAGCCCCAGCTTAGCTAGGATAGAGGGAATCTTGGTCTCCTGTAATTTCAAGGTCAACTATTTGGATATTGATCTAATTTTGCATGTCTTATTTGACTAAAGATCAAAGTCAACTATCATGATGGTTCATTGGTGTAGGATTTCATTGACTTGCAAAGTGTCTTAGAAATGGTCAATGACACAGTAGAAATACAAAAGATAAACAAGATATGGGCTTGAATCCACAAAGTTCTAATCTTGGTGAAGAAACTTGCCTCTAAATTCACAAATTCAGAGTCTTCAACCCTTGAATCCACAAGAGAGTGTATGAATCCACGAGTAAGAGGGAGAGGTTCTCATAGTGGAGAAAATTGACTCAACTAAAAAGGTGTGTCCCTCTAGTTACAATAGGGGCCTTTACATAGGCTTAGAAAAGAGGTTGGGTGCTCTTCAAAAGGAGGATCTTGATAAATCTTAGGGACAAAGTCTGACTAACTCTGAAATGACTTAAAACAGACTCTAACAGACTGAGATATAGACAAATCTTCTTAAAATATTTTAATATGACCTAAAGCAAACTCTAATAGTGAGAGACCCTAAGCAGATTTTAGATACATAATATGACAGTCAAAGATCCTAAATAAACCTTAGATATAGACTGAACCACATTAAAGTCTCTTCTAGAAAGAATGAGACAAAGTACCTTCTAAAAGTGAAAGGACATAAAGTGAGCCCAACTTTGAACCTCCAGCCCACTAGTGACATATGTGGGCTTTTTTTTCTTGCACTTTTCACATTATGACCCAAGTTTAAGATAAGTGGGCTTAAATTCAAAGTTGACACTTTAACTTATGTCTTGGGTTATATCAGTCTCTCCTTCTTCAAGAAAACTCGTCTTCGAATCTTCATTTGAATTATCGTAATACTCATATATGTCACTAACATTGAATGTGGGTGACATACTCATATTTGGTGAGAGTTCAATGAGGTATGTAGTGTCATTGATCTTATGTAGAACTTGATGTGGTCTATATTTCTTTGGCTTCAACCTTTTGTAGTTACCTACTAAGAATCTTTCTTTATGAAGGTACACCATCACTTTGTCTCCAACTTCAAATATGTTCTTTCTTCTTTTCTTATCTACTATTGCTTTATATTTCTCATAATTGGTCGTAAGATTGTGTATCACACTTTCATGAAGTGTTTTGATACGATCTACTATATTATTTACAATAATACTAGTTCTAACTAATCTTGATACTTGTAATAAATCTAAGAGAATTCTTGAAGGAAAACAATAAATCACTGAAAATAGAGATTGGTTAGTCAAATGATTAGTTAGCGAGTTATATGCAAACTCTGCTTGTGCCAAAGCATAATCCCATTATTTTGGGTTTTTTCCTGAAATACAACGAATCAAGTTACCAAGAGTTCTATTCACAACTTCAGTTTGACCATCCGTTTTTGGGTGACTAGTACTACTAAATTTCAAAAATGTGTCAAACCTCTTCTAAAATGTCCACCAGAAGTAAGATATAAACTTAGAATCTCTATTAGAGGCAATTGACTTAGGAATTCCATGTATACAAATAATTTCTCTAAATAAGTGATTGGCTACCTAACTTGCATCATTTATTTTTTTACATGTGATAAAGTGTGCCATTTTTGAAAATCTATCAACAACCACAAAAATGGAGTTAGCTCCTCTCTATGTTCACAGCAAACTTAATATAAAATCCATTGAAATATCAGCCTATGGACATTGTGGAATAGGCAATGGAGTGTATAGTCCAATATTTTAACTTTGTCTCTTGTAGGTTTAACAAACCTGACATTTACGAACAAAATTTTCTACATCTTTATTTAGTTTAGGCCAGTAATTTCGCTCTTCAACTGACTATAATGTCTTGTCTCGACCAAGGTGTCCTACTAACATGACTTAGTCATTGTATATTAAATCATGCAAATCTAAAATTTATAAAACTAGAAAATATGAATTTTTAGATATTTAGAAGTATTTTTAAATAAATATATCAATTATAATTCAATAAAACTTTGAAAATTAGCAATAATTTTTCAAGTCGATCATAGGGATGTAATATAATATCTGGTCATTATTCAGAATTTTTCTCAATGAATACAATTTTTTATAAATTTTATACTAGAAAATGAAAAATAAATATATTTAAAATTCATAAAAAAGGGAAATAAGGGTGCAGACATCAAGATGACATCAGCACCCTGGAGAATGCGAATCGAGTAGAAACAAAGTTCCACCCGATGATTCTTACGTAAGCGATTATAGATGATTTAATTAATTAAATTAAGATATGTAAAAGCTAAAAGAATCGTAATAGAACAAAATATATTTTAGTAAATTAAAATTACAAAAATTATCACTAAATGAAACATAAAGTAAGTTGAAAGCAAGAAAATAAAGTTCTAGCATCGCGACGACAATGCATCGGAATCTTGAACATTTGGAAGGATCATTATGTAGTGTCCACAACCTCGAAAACTCTCCTTGGACAAAGACGATGTGGGCAATCTCTATATCTCCTTGCAAAGTTTAGAGATTAATGAAATAAGTCATCGAATCGTCTCCAATGGCTGTCACTTAGTGTAGCAGAAAAATGGCGACTTTGCAGCTCTCTAGTGGCTGTCGCCTAACAAAGAAGAGTTAGATGGAGGTGAGACGCAAGTTAGGGAGCTTCATCCTCAAGTCTACGCAGCAAGAGGAGGCTCTTCATTACATCTGGTATGCTCTCAAGAGGTGGCGACTCATCTCCTGGCAGATCATCCTCTTCCCGACGACGACTTGTTCGTCGATCAATCAGAGATGATTTACTCGATGGATTCGTGATCCTTTTATCATGAATCGTTCAGCAATTTTAGTAGCAATACTCTGCGAATTGCATTGACGGGATTTTTACTGATAATCTAGAGATTCTTGTTGCTTAATCCTTCACCGGTGATTTGTAAGAAAGTTACGATCATCAGATAAAAATATGACTTTTGACTTTAGAAGGACTCAAACTTGCGTTGGTTGTTCGCCCCTTTTGAGGAAGGTGTGACGCAAGTTTAGTCCCACATCAGTTGTGCACCGATTTTTCAGGCGAATATATAGTAATGTTATATTTTTAAGTAAAGTTCCTTCTCCCGCATGTACGACCACTCTTTGCCCCACAGCCAGCTGGTCATCGATGATGTGGAAGGGGAGTGGCGCACACGTGCCCCTATCGATCCAAGCCGCTCGAGTCTCTACTCACGACTACTCCCCGACTAAGCTTTTGAACTGTTTGCAGGCCTAGTTGGCCGACGGGTCTCCCTCATTTTGTCTTATTTTTATTATTTATTTATTTTTCTTCATTTATCTCAAAAGCAAGACTATAAAAATCATATAAATTTATGTAAAATTACATAATTACCTAAAAAATCACATTAATCAACTGAAAACCACTTTTCACACTTTAACATAAATATAAGTCTATTTATCATGAGTTAAAGTTAAAACTATATTATTTACTAATTATTAACTCATGATAATGAAGACTTATCACACCCCCCAACTTAAATCATTACTAGTCCCTTAGCAATAGAATTATGAAAATAAAAATTAACAAATCTCAAACATCATATTTCAATATAGAAAAAAAATATAATTAGAAATGATGCACTTTTAGATACTTTGGATTCTTATATCAAGCACTTAAATGTTTAAACACTCCTTATAATAACAATCTAGACTTCACTTATTCTATTCACATCTTTATCACTTCTTCACTCATAGATGTATTTACAAGATGTTTCAATTATCAATATTCATCCAAGAATAATATTGATCCTATATTTCTCTTTTTCTATGACTTGATTTTCGAAGTTTGCACTATATTTTTTCCTTTTTTTTTAATATATATAGTGGATAAGTAGCTTTTTTTATAGATAAATTTCAACAATAAGAATGATGTCTCATACCCTCCATGTGTACTCTTCATTTTCAGGGCTTTCACTTTATTCATTTATTTTGTAGTAAATATTTTTTTTATGCACGACTTTCGACAATGAGAATGATGCCTCACACCCTCCAT